GATAAACCTTGCTGCCGCCGACGGCCGCTATAGTGAGCCGGTGCGACCCAACCATGCTGCTCACGCCAATGCTTACGTATAGTGCTAGCTTTCCTAGCGATAAATTGACAAAACTGACCCTTTTCGCATAAAATGCCATCCGAAAAAACTGGCAAATTAGCAATTGGGTCATTTACCGCGGTCGGAGCTTGCCATTCATCGCATTCTTGCGCGCGCTCGGAGGTCTGAACAGCTTTAGCAATTTGGCGTGCTTTCGGCATTGGAAAGCGATGGTTCGGAGATTGAAAGTGTCGAAAGACCTCTCTCGGTCTAACGACGTGCTCGCATGTCTTACACACGAAGACTGGGTCTGTCGAAGGTTGGTGAAAAAATTGGGTTTGCATAATAAAGGTGTAGATATATATCGTACAATAGTGAATTGCATGAAATTTGACGAATGTCTAATGCTAACTTTGGGGTGAAATAGTGTAAAAGAAAAGTGAGACAATAGCTAGGAAGCTTTCAAACCCCCTAAATTAATGGCTACCCCTCCTAATCATTATTGACTAGCATTATCGAGGTTGTTCTATTCGTCTAGAGTGCTGTGGTAGCGTCTTAGGTGCTAATCGTACACCGTAATGGTACACCCCAACAAAACATCTCTAATTTTTAATCGACATTTTCTCGATAACTAGTAGGCTGTGCATGCTCCGAAGCAAATGGGAGATATTTCACATAGTCTATTATAACTTATAAAAATTTGAGAACGATCGGAGTTCATTTGACCTCTGAACCCTGGCGAGGAAATTAACCTGAACTCAGGCGGGGCCCACTTTTTATGTCCCATAGTTAAGACAAAGCCCTAACCTGAACTCTGGCAGAGTTCACCCACCCCCGTGGGATAGGGGCCACCGGTACTGTTTTCGCTCCGCGGTAACTGCCACCCGCATTTTCGGTTCAAGCTCAAGGATGTTTGCCGCTAAGCGATCGCGTCGGTTGGCGATTGATTCTTCATCGGATGTGATCTCGTCTTCGGTGTCACACGCGGCCAACAGAACTTGTCGTCTGTGCCTCTTGCGGGGCCGGAGCATCCGTCCAGAATGTCGCAAGACCTCATATTCATCCAGGGCTTGGATCATTCGCATGCATAAGTCTTGCGCCACGGTGCCTTTAGCCTTGCGCTGGGCTTTCAACAACGACTCATCTCCAATTCTGATACCAAAGCGAAAGACAGTCTGCGGGGCTTTTCTCTTCCACGCTGGGGCATCGGGATTCTGGGAAAACTGATCGGCGATCTGTAACAATTTCTCATAGAATTCCCCTTCAGGCAGCCTAACCAGATCCATCTCCGGTTCCATGGCGTTCTCCATGTACTGAGATTCGCCAGACGAGCGGCCCCAGCCAGTCGTTGGATGGTGTTTGATATATTCGGCAGGGAAAGGGTCACCCCCTCGCGACACACCATACCATTGCCTGTAGTGTTCGTACAATCCGGCATTGAAGTTAGACCACCATACCTCCTGTCCTGTATCCTTAGACCTGCGCATAAATCCATTGCTATGTGGGTATGGAAGTAACCAGTGGCTTTGGAGGAATGAAGTCCTTAAGACTTTCTTCCACTCCCGCGCTCTATTCTTGCCCAGAATTTGGTGGAGAGCCTCGAAGCTTTGCTGGTATACCATACGATATGGCTTGTCCTTCCACCCCTTCCGATCAAAACGGCCATCTTTCCACTCCCATAGCCAAGCGAAGATAGTGTCCACGCTCTTTACCGCGATCCGACGCTGATCTAGAAGCTGTAACGGTTGGGCGCCCTCGATAAATACGCCGCTGATGCTGTCATAGCTAAGGGGAACCTCTCCTGCTAGAGCCCGAGAAGCATGGTCCGGGTGTAACAGTCGTTTGACCTGTAGAAACACGTCCTTACGAAACACACAAAGAGACAGTTGTCGTAGGAAGTCCGCGAGAAGATCGAGGCAAGGAGGAATGGAGCTAAATTCTTCCATCCAGCGGTGGGCCTGGTGCACCCGTAGGAAGTCTAGACGAACGTCTCGGATCTGCGCGTACCGTGCGTGGAACGCCGCCTGCATCGAAGGGCTGTTAAACATCATATATTGCGCGGACGGTTGTCGGAAGGTCATCGTATCCCAGTTGAGCTTATCCAGAAACCAGGCATATCCATATTTCTCCATGCTGCTTTGGAATCCGAGACCTTCACACCGGCGAAGGCCGTCCGTCCGCCGAGCATCAGGCTGGAACCAGACATCCCGCCAGCAGCCGGACACCCGCTGTAGAAGGCCACCCGCATAGGAAAATTGCAGGCAGCGCAGAAACATCATCATCACCCGAGTATGTTCCCACGTAACAAAATGGCGGTCATTGATGCTATAGACAGTCTCAAACCCCACGCAGAACTTGTTGATATTCCAGTGGAACCAGAAGAGGAGAGTGGAGGTAGGGAGGGAGTAAAAAGGCTCAACTTCAGACGAAATCCCTGGAAGTTGTGCCTGGTGAAGGTTGCGCTCTCGGAATTCCTGATCGATCATATAGAACAGACGGAGGGAGATGCGGTGCTCTTCGCGAAGACCAAATACTTTCATATAAGATCCTTGCAAGGCAGCGTGGCACCGCTGTTTCATGTTCAGATATGCCCGGATCAACGCGATTGGGTCATGGCTGAGACCGCCCCCGACATACTGCCAGGTCTTACGAAGCTGAGGATCTAGTGCCAAGGTTTCTAGGGCCGGATTAGAAAAGGGATAAGCATCCCCTGCCGCAAAGACCTCCTTAACACTGGAATAAAACTGCGTGTAGAGGAGACCGGCCTGCCGCTGCGGTGAGGATGGACGCGTTTCTAATGTGAGGCTGCCAGTATCGTGGAGCAGACTAATGGGATAAAACTGCTGCTTTGGACGTGAGGATCCAGGAGGATGCTGCTGCCCGATCCACTCGGTATACGACTCTAGGCAACATCGCCGCCAGAGGATGGTCTGTGGCACCACTGGGCTTGCACGGAGCTCCCCGTCCGAATGGAGCCTAGATGCGTGAAGTCCAACACCACCAACCCGTGAGGGCCCAGTAGGACAGGTCTCTTTCCCAATGTCGATGTAGAATTGATCGGAGAGATAAGACTCGTCGATCGTGTTACCCCAATGCTGGGCAAACTCCTGCATCATACCGTTCCACGTATTTGCTTTGGTCAATGTCTTTAGGTTTTTACCCTGGACCAGGATAGTCACGTCTAGGAAGTGCTGGAACCCAGCACGCTGAACAGTCTCTAAGATATTCGCCCATACAAGCGGGAGTGCATCTGGTGGTAGGAAATAAAATAGACGCTGCTCTCGAGCTACCGGATCCACTCGCCGGGAGCGCATCTCGACTCCCCGGGCCGTGGCATTGAACCGGCTGTGATCAAAGCTAGAAGGATAGTGCTGGACTAGAGATCCCTCGCAGTGCTGGTAGATCGCAGGCAGGAGGACTTGATCCATCCAGACCCGAAAGTCATCATCCCGGAGCCGGCTGGACTGCTGCTCCTCCCGGTATAGTCGCGGAAACAGAAAGTAGAGAGAAATATCTTCAAATCCAATCAACCGCCCGAAGGTATAATGCGGGATGTTATGTACTGGTTGTTGGACGTGGTGGGTGCGGCCATTGCTTCCAGTATGGTGTACACGAAGGGGATCAAGGTGGAGACTCGAGTGAAGATCAGAGACGGGCATCTGAGTTGGGTTCCACCGCACGCCAAGTTTCGCTACCGCGAGGCTCTCCGCAAACCCCACGATACTATCAATGTCAAAGGTGACCCCGGTCGGGCGTTCTCTTTGATGATCCACAGCGAGGCAAATATGGGCGGGAGGAGCGTCAGGCGTGACTGAACTAATCCCGGTATAAATCTCACGCTTTCGTTCTGCACTAGTCTGTCCTGCTAGGTTGTCCTCGCGTCTGGCAATGGTCGTATCGCTGAGAACATCCGGAAAGCCCCCGTCGACCTGAACCTGGTCTATATATTCTCCTAAGCTGATATGCTCGGCGTGCTTGAGTTCGTGCTCACTCTCCTGCTGCGTATGGCACTGGTAGCAGCAACCATGGTGTTGCTGGAGCTGATCAGCAAGTAGTCGGGCGAAGTCGCACATGACATTGGCCACGTTAGGTTCTAGTGTTTCCGGTTGTGCAGATGCCAAACGTTGTAGAGGCGGATCCACCTGCAACGAAGTCTCTGTGGTTTCTAACCTGGGGCTACGCTGATCAGGCCATGTTGGTTGGGTTTCCGGAGATATCGCCCGAAATGGCTCATCAGTTAGGTCAGTGGGCGGAGCTAACGGCCACTCATCGCTTGTAGGCGGGTTGTTATCTGTAGATAAGTCTAGTGGTCTAAGTCCTAGGCTGAGGGGCGGTAGGAGCTGCTCAATGTCCGTAGGAATCGTTAGTTCGCCGGGGGGAAAGTAGGTTGGCAAAGCTTCATCGACATAAACGGATGCTGGTATTGTAGTGGGATAATACCGGTCGAATTCTATCGCACGCTCCACAGCACGACCAGATTGTCGCTGGTTTCGCTGTGCTATGATCTTAGCCTCTTGTCTTTGCTCGGCGGATGCATACTTCCGAGGCCGCCCTCGTTTGCGCGTAGGGGCTCGAGGGGAGTCGGGCGCCATAATACTAAAGAAGAACTAGAGTAAGAGCGATGGTAAGCAGATATCGAGCTTACTAGAGTCGAGCCCCAAAATAAGGGGTCAATGACATAAGCATGGAGGGCGGTTCTGATCTATCGAGGCGGTTTATGATCCCTCATATAAATATTGCTTATGGTCCCAAATAGGCTTAGTTTTGAGGAAATAAATCAAAAAGGGTTTAGTTTTGAGGACAAAAACATGAAGCACGATTATGTAACCGTTTTCCCTTCAAAGCTCCAAAAATGGCCAACTTCGATGGGTTGTAACTCCGTGACCGTATAAGTTAAAAGAATTCTGATTGAAGAAATAAAGTGGACTAAGCCCACTGCTCCGTATTGGGGCTTTATTGAGTTAAAAAAGGGCTATGTGGTTGTTGGTCGACTTCCGTTTTCTGCTACTGGTAAAGGTGACCCCGGTCGGGCGTTCTCTTTGATGATCCACAGCGAGGCAAATATGGGCGGGAGGAGCGTCAGGCGTGACTGAACTAATCCCGGTATAAATCTCACGCTTTCGTTCTGCACTAGTCTGTCCTGCTAGGTTGTCCTCGCGTCTGGCAATGGTCGTATCGCTGAGAACATCCGGAAAGCCCCCGTCGACCTGAACCTGGTCTATATATTCTCCTAAGCTGATATGCTCGGCGTGCTTGAGTTCGTGCTCACTCTCCTGCTGCGTATGGCACTGGTAGCAGCAACCATGGTGTTGCTGGAGCTGATCAGCAAGTAGTCGGGCGAAGTCGCACATGACATTGGCCACGTTAGGTTCTAGTGTTTCCGGTTGTGCAGATGCCAAACGTTGTAGAGGCGGATCCACCTGCAACGAAGTCTCTGTGGTTTCTAACCTGGGGCTACGCTGATCAGGCCATGTTGGTTGGGTTTCCGGAGATATCGCCCGAAATGGCTCATCAGTTAGGTCAGTGGGCGGAGCTAACGGCCACTCATCGCTTGTAGGCGGGTTGTTATCTGTAGATAAGTCTAGTGGTCTAAGTCCTAGGCTGAGGGGCGGTAGGAGCTGCTCAATGTCCGTAGGAATCGTTAGTTCGCCGGGGGGAAAGTAGGTTGGCAAAGCTTCATCGACATAAACGGATGCTGGTATTGTAGTGGGATAATACCGGTCGAATTCTATCGCACGCTCCACAGCACGACCAGATTGTCGCTGGTTTCGCTGTGCTATGATCTTAGCCTCTTGTCTTTGCTCGGCGGATGCATACTTCCGAGGCCGCCCTCGTTTGCGCGTAGGGGCTCGAGGGGAGTCGGGCGCCATAATACTAAAGAAGAACTAGAGTAAGAGCGATGGTAAGCAGATATCGAGCTTACTAGAGTCGAGCCCCAAAATAAGGGGTCAATGACATAAGCATGGAGGGCGGTTCTGATCTATCGAGGCGGTTTATGATCCCTCATATAAATATTGCTTATGGTCCCAAATAGGCTTAGTTTTGAGGAAATAAATCAAAAAGGGTTTAGTTTTGAGGACAAAAACATGAAGCACGATTATGTAACCGTTTTCCCTTCAAAGCTCCAAAAATGGCCAACTTCGATGGGTTGTAACTCCGTGACCGTATAAGTTAAAAGAATTCTGATTGAAGAAATAAAGTGGACTAAGCCCACTGCTCCGTATTGGGGCTTTATTGAGTTAAAAAAGGGCTATGTGGTTGTTGGTCGACTTCCGTTTTCTGCTACTGGTGATTTTATCAATAAGCCGGTCGCCGACCTCGGTCGCGGGCATTGAATCGGTCTCGGCAATAGCCTCCGCCCCGAGCGTACGCACCCGAATATAATGAGATCCTAGCCCTTGGATAAATGCGCGCTGGCATCTTACGACGCGCGTAAATTGCTGAATTTGCTGCTCGGCAGCCGATAGCCCTTGTGATGCCTATGGTGGCCGTCCACGGGTGCTAGTTGGTGCTACCTAACCATGCTGATCGCGCTAATGCTGTCGTATAGTATTGGCTGTACGCGCGATAAATTGACAAAATAGGTCCTTTTCACATAAAATGCCATCCGAAAAAACTGGCAAATTAGCAATTGGGGTATTAACCACGGTTGGTGGCTGCCATGCGTCGTATTCATGCGCCCGGTCGGAGGTTTGAATAACAACCGCAATTTGACGCGCTATACGTAGCGGAAGTCGATGATTCCGTGATTGGAGGTGTCGTAAGACCTCTCTCGGTCTAATAACGTGCTCGCATGTCTTACACACGAAGACTAGGTCTGTGGAAGGTTAGTGAAAAAATTGGGTTGCCATAGTTGAGATATATATCGCACAATGATGAATTCTATGAAATTTGACGAATGTCGAATGCTAACTTTGGGGTGAAATGGTCTGAAAGTAAAGTGAGATGATAGCTAGGGAGCATCTAAACCCCTGAATTAATTGCTACCCCTCCTGATCATAGTGTACTAGCATTATCGAGGTAATTGGATTCGTCTACGGTGCTGTGGCGGCGGTAAAGGTACAAAATCCCGTACCCCAACAAAACATCTCTAATTTTCAATCGCTATTTTCTCGAGAACTAGGAGGCTGCGCATGCTCCGAAGTGAATCGGAGATTAATTAGATAGTCTATTATAACTGATCCAAATTTAAGAGCGATCGGAGGTCATTAGACCTCTCCAGTCTGACGAGGAAATTAATTCCTAGTCTGACGGGACCCACTTTTTATGTCCCATAGTGAAGAGAAGACCCTAATTCCCAGTCTGCCAGACTGGGCCACCCCCCGTGGGATAGGGAAAACCCTAACCTACAGTCTGCCAGACTACAGCTACCCCCGTGGGATAGGGTGAAATGGTGTGGAAAAGAAGTGAGATAATAGCTAGGAAGCTTCAAAACCCCCTGAATGAATTGCTACCCCTCCTGATCATTATAGACTAGCATTATCGAGGTTGTTCTATTCGTCTAGAGTGCTGTGGTAGCGTCTTAGGTGCTAATCGTACACCGTAATGGTACACCCCAACAAAACATCTCTAATTTTTAATCGCTATTTTCTCAATCATTACTAGGCTATGCATGCTCCGAAGCAAATAGGAGATATTTCATATAGTCTATTATAACTCATAAAAATTTTAGACCGATCGGAGTTCATTAGACCTCAGTAGTCAGGCGAGGAAAAGAACCTGTAGTCAGGGTGGCCCCACTTTTTATGTCCCATAGTGAAGAGAAAGCCCTAACCTGTAGTCTGGCAGACTACAGCCACCCCCGTGGGATAGGGAAAACCCTAACCTGCAGTCTGCCAGACTACAGCTACCCCCGTGGGATAGAGTACTAGGTAATAATGTAAATAGATAATACACACCCTTATATCTTAGGTAATAGTAGACCCCCGAGAGTAAGCTTGCTACCATAATATTAGGAAACGTACGCGCTATCTAATTATACAATAATAATACTAATAATACTAAGTGGTGATCGGTTAGACTATTCCCGATTAGTGGAAAAAGTGTTACAAACCATGCTTTAGATAAACATTAGGTAGTACTCTTACTTATATATATCTCTACACTCCGATATATATATCTCTACTATACTACCCCAAAATTTTACTAGCAAATAAGGTTTCCTAGCATCCTAATTAGGTCTAGCCTATAGCCTACTAGCTAATATATCTACTACTATATAGTATAGACCATAATATACTAGTATACTACCTTTTACTAGTAATAAAAAGTTTGACCGCTAATAACTCTCTCACTATTAGACCTACCAATTTAAGAGTAGTATATTTAAAACCAGCTAATTTTTCTCTATCAAATAAGCTTTTATAGTAAATGATCAGCCTTAGATATAGTGGGTTAAACCTTTGTATGTACGTGGAGGCTACCCGGGTGCTTGCCTTAGTGGTAGTCAAGTGTCAAAATACGCGGGTGTAAGAAACGGATACGTCGTAATCTATTTAGTAAGGACTACCATAGATAAGGTGCCGTATCGGGGTTACGGTAACAAATCCCGTCGGTCGCACCCCAACAAAACTTTTCACCCAATTTTGATCATCAACCACACCACTATTATAGGTCTGATCGAATTCAAACTTTCACAGTTCTTAGGGTATCTAGTTAAATAGAACGTGTGAAACTTATAGACCGATCGGACGATAGGATAGCCCGTGGTAGCCGAGTAAGTGCAAACCCTATAGTACTGCAACCACCCAGAAAGGTACTTCAAGGTACTTCATAGAAAAACTTCAAACGCGAATATCTCGAGAACCGTAAGGCTGTGCAAGCTCCGAAGCAAATCGGAGATACGTCACGTATACCTCTATAAGCTGTGAAATTCTTAGATCAATCGGAGCTAACCTCACCTCTGCAGTCAGGCGAGGAAAAGAACCTGCAGTCAGGCGTGGTGGTATTTTTATGTAACATAGTTAAGACAAAGCCCTAACCTGCAGTCTGGCAGACTGCAGCACCCCCCATGGGATAGGATCCGGACCCCAGAGGTAAGCCTGACGCTGCCTACTTGCCAAAATTAGTAAAATTCATGAAGAAATTGAAGAAATTGAGAAATTGGAAGTTAAGAAATTGGAAATTAAGAAATTGAGAAATTGAGAAATTGAGAAATTGAGAAATTGAGAAATTGAAAAAACTCACCTCTTGATCTCTTCCACGCCGTCCGATCTCCGCACCTTCGCTACGTACGCCTCTAATCGTCGTATAAATGGCAATACGAGCCATAAATAATGGACCACAAGCTCACCTACCTCCCGGGGTAAATAGCGATAAATCACCTTCGTATCATTAGACGCGTAAAACCCCTTGTGGTATTGTGAGACGAAGGTAACGAGCCCGTCCTCAATGAATACGTTGCGACGGCCCCCGCTGTCGGTATTGCAATGCCGAATGCTTAATAGCTCTGGCGCTCGAGCCGGCTGGCCACCACTCACATGAATAGCAATAGCAAGCTTCTCACGGAAATGCGCTACCCGTTGAAGGTATACGTCAATTGCTGCCATCCGTAGCCGACCGGCACTACTCTCGATAAATCGCTGCCGTACCGGGCCGTGCTGCCGTACCCGCCCGATTAGCCATTGCTCGCCGTCTACCGGCCATAGCGTACGGGTGTCTTTTAAGAAATTCCACCCGTGGGCTGTCTCGGTGGGGTCGTCATAAATTGCCTGCCATGGAATAGCTGGAACGGACCTATTTTCGACGAATAATAGCTCATTGTGAAGGATTTGGCGTGCCGAGGTTGTAAGCCCGTGGATGAACCCACGGAAGTCACCTATTGAGAAATTGAATTGCTGGTAAAGTAGCTGGTCCTGATTCATCCAGCCGACGTGGCCCGTAGTGGTGCTATTGTAATGGATCTTTAAGCCGTACGTCCGTAGATCTAATAGCCATTGAATTGGACTATTAGTTCCACGGACCATGAATTGGCTTACCATCTCAGCCACCCACTCTCGAAATGATCGCTGGGTCTGCCGAGCCTGGGTAAATTGAATGAATTGCGATGACTGCGTCGGTGGCAGAACTGGGCCATTTTCGAAATTGAAAAATGGATCATCTGATGTCTGAAATTCAGGCGTATCGAGTGGACTCTCGGTATCCCAATCCCCTGCCATTTGATGCTCCGCTAGCTGATATAGCATTGCCTCAGCCGTGGAATCCAATTTCAATGCCTTGTGGACTACCATGAATCGTGCAATTTTAATAAGCTTCGATAAAATCGGAGGATAGCTCTCTGCCGTACGCCAGCCTGTCTCACCCCGACCGAGCACTGCCGTGGCACAAATCAGCGCGCTCTCATAATCCTCGACCTTAATTCGATGATTCAAAAGCTCAATGCAAAAATTGAGACACGCTAGATCGATGGGAGCGAGCTGAAACGGAGAATCGGTGCTATTTTGCTGATTCGCTAGCGATTCGCTAGCAAATCGCTGCGTGGGATGATCCTCGGTGTCACTCTCTGAATGCTCGCTATTATCGCCTGAACTAGCCGTGGCCGAACTAGCCGTGGTTGAACTAGCCGTGGCCAGGCTAGCTGACCTAGCAATGCCTACGCTAGGTGATGCGCCCGGCTGAGCCAGTTTCCAAAGCGAGTTCCACGCGGCTCGCTGGCGCCTAGTGAATTTGTAATTTGGACTAGCCCATTCATGCGACGCCTGCGTACGAGTGAAAAACATCAAAATTTGCTGCCACGGTATGGTATGTCTCTCGATATTATCGGCATCCATGTAAGCTTGCAATGGCTGGTGCGGCAGTCGCTCGCGCTCCGTACGTACGGCTTCGGTGCGAATTGTATGGCTAGTTTTCGTACAAATCAACTGGCTAATTCTCGCGACAGCCGCCATTGCATCCCATATAGCGCTTGCCGCTATTTCCGTCGGATCGCATGAATCGACCTCGGGTGCTCGGACGCAGTCAATAAGGTGCTGGGGGTCGATTCCACGGAGGTAGACGGCCCACCGCGTACGACGGAGCCATGGATTCGCGTCATCGCGCTCGCCAGCTTCAATTAGCTGGGGTAGCTCACTTTCCTCTTTGAAAGCTAGTTCGATTTCATCAATAAGCCGGTCGCCGACCTCGGTCGCGGGCATTGAATCGGCTTCGGCAATAGCATCCGCCCCGAGCGTACGCACCCGAATATAGTGAGATCCAGTACGACTAGGAAATGCTCGCTGGCATCGTACGACGCGCGTAAATTGCTGGATTTGTTGCTCAGCTACCGATAAGCCTTGCTGCCTCCGGCGGTCGCTATAGTGAGCCGGTGCGACCCAGGCATGCTGCTCACGCCAGTGCTTACGTATAGTACTAGCTTTCCTAGCGATAAATTGGCAAAACTGCCCCTTTTCACATAGAATACCATCCGGAAAAACTGGCAAATTAGCAATTGGCTGGTCTACGACCGTCGGGGGCTGCCATTCATCGCATTCTTGCGCGCGGTCGGAGGTTTGAATAATATGCGCAATTTGACGTGCCACTCGCATTGGAAGTCGATGATTTGCTGATTGAAGGTGTCGTAAGACCTCTCTCGGTCTAACAACGTGCTCGCATCGCTTACACACGAGAACTGGGTCTGTCGAAGGTTGGTGAAAGAATTGGTTTTGCATAATGAAGGTGTAGAAAAGAAGTGAGATAATAGCTAGGAAGCTTCAAAACCCCCTGAATTAATTGCTACCCCTCCTGATCATTATAGACTAGCATTATTAAGGTAATTAGATACGTCTATAGTGCTGTGGCGGCGGTAAAGGTACAAAATCCCCTACCCTAACAAAACATCTCCGATTTTTAATCGCCATTTTCTCAGCCACTAGTAGGCAGTGCATGCTCCGAAGCGAATGGGGGATATGTCAAATGGTCTATTATAACTGACCAAAATTTGAGAGCTGTTAGAGGTCATTTGAACCCTGAACCCTAGCGAGGAAATTTACCTGAACCCTTGCGGGACCCACTTTTTATGTACCATTATCTCCCATAGTGAAGGGACCGCCAAGACCTGAACTCTAGTAGAGTTCACCACCCCCCGTGGGATAGAGTGAGCCGGTGCGACCCACGCATGCTGCTCACGCCAATGCTTACGCATAGTGCCAGCTTTCCTAGCGATAAATTGACAAAATGGGCCCTTCTCACATAAAATGCCATCCGAAAAAATTGGCAAATTAGCAATTGGGGTATTAACCACGGTTGGTGGGTGCTATGCGTCGCATTCATGCGCCCGGTCGGAGGTTTGAATAACATCCGCAATCTGACGCGCTATACGTAGCGGAAGTCGATGATTCCGTGATTGGAGGTGTCGTAAGACCTCTCTCGGTCTAATAACGTATTCACATGTCTTACACACAAAGACTGGGTCTGTCGAAGGTTCGTGAAAGAATTGGTGAAAGAATTAGCTTTGCATAATGAAGGTGTAGATATATATCACACAATAATGAATTGTATGAAATTTGACGAATATCGAATGCTAACTTTGAGGTGAAATGATCTAAAAATAAAGTGAGATGATAGCCGGGGAGCGTCTAAACCCCTGAATTAATTGCTACCCCCCTGATCATTATAGACTAGCATTATCGAGGTTGTTCTATTCGCCTAGAGTGCTGTAGTAGCGTCTTAGGTGCTAATCGTAGACCGTAATAGTACACCCTAACAAAACATCTCTAAATTTAAATCGCCATTTTCTCGATAACTAGTAGGCTATGTATGCTCCGAAGTGAGTAGGAGATAATTCGGATGGTCTATTATAACTGACCAATATTTAAGAGCTATTAGAGGTCATTTGAACTCTGAACCCTTGCGAAGAAAATAACCTGAACTCTTACGGGACCCACTTTTTATGTCCCATAGTGAAGGCAAAGCCCTAACCTGAACTCTACAAGAGTTCACCCACCCCCGTGGGATAGGGTATTGACCATAGTTGGCGGCTGCCATTCATTGTATTCATGCGCCCGGTCGGAGAAGGAGGTCCGAATAGCTTCAGCAATTTAGCGCGCTTTCGGCTTCCCAATGCGATGATTAGCTAACTAGAGGTGCCGGAAGACCTCCTTAGGTCGAACAACGTGCTCGCATGTCTTACACACGAAGACGGGGTCTATCGAAGGTAAGTGAAAGAAATGGTCTTGCATAATGAAGGTGTAGATATAGATATCGTATAATGATAAATTGCATGAAATTTGACGAATGTTGAATGCTGACTTTCGGGTTAAATGGTGTAAAAAAAAAGTGAGATGCTAGCTACGGGTCTTCAAAACCCCCTGAATTAATTGCTACCCCGCCTAATCATTGTAGACTAAGATAATGGAGGTGATTCAATTCGTCTAACACCTAGAGTGAAACCTAAGGCCACGGTCGCAACCCTAACGGGCCAGTTTCCGGCACCCCATCAAAACATCTACAATTTTCAATCGCCTATTTCTCGAGAACTAGCAGGCTGCGTATACTCCGATAAAAATGGGAGATATTTGAGATACTCTATTATAACTTGCCAAAATTTTAGACCGATCGGAGGCCTCTAGACCTTGGCAGTCAGGCGACGAAGTTCACTTGCAGTCAGGCGTACGACCCACTTTTCCTGCCATAGTTAAGGGAAAACCCTAGCCTGCAGTCTGCCAGACTGCAGGTGCCCCCGTGGGATAGGGAAACTAAAGCCTGCATGGACGCTTGATCGGGCCGATTGACTGATTCCAACGGCGGGACCAAATTTAGTGTCTCCAAGATGGCCAGATTTTCTTGTACCAAGATACAGCTCTTTAGTCAAGACAAATGGAAATCGCAGGTGGTGATGTAGCTCTTTTCCCGTTATATATCACGTCTTGGGCAATGGGTAGCTTCTGTGGATCTAAGGACAGGGACACCTGACCTAAAAGGCCAAGTGTCAATATCAGACCTACATTACTGGAAGTAGATACCAGGCCACAAAAGAAGATGATTGCTGGTTAGTTATAAATACGAAGCATTGGTTTGTGTATACATGGAGTAACCATGTCCAGGCGACCTTCTGACGAGCAGCAATTCGAGGCGTTTGAGATTGGAATAGAAGGTCTGTGATTATAACGAACTCAGCCATATGGTGTTTCTTGTTCTAGTTTCAACTAGCCGAATCCTCTTATCCGCGCCTCTATCGGCGATTCACCCAAGGTGAACTTCCCAAGGCGACACTCACTTGAACGTCCCGTTAACATCACAATGTAGCATATTCTGGACATCGGAACTGGTCAAGGGAGTTGGGCAATGTAATCCGATGAGCAATATGTCTCAAGAAAACCATTAAGTCCTTAGTGATGTTGCCGATCGCTATCCGTCAGGTATTAGATTTCCCGAGACGATTCCGTCTGTTCTAGGGCTGACACCGGCTAGCTACCGTCCGCGGCGTGGATATTTTCCCCCCGCCAGTGTCATGGATGCCCCCAAACTGCGTGTTCGAAGTGGATGATGTGCTCCGCGAGTGGACATAGAGAGACTCGTTTGACTTTATCTATATGCGCCTAATGTATGGCGCCTTTCCTCCTGAGGGATGGGACTAGCTATACAAACAGGCTTACGAGTGAGTTTCAATCCTTGTTACTCGATCTTTCGTGTCACCAAACGCTTATATCTGTTTACTCTCGCTATAGCGCCCTCGAACCCGGTGGCTGGATCGAGCAAGTAGAATTTGACGTGCGACTTTCTAGCGATGACGGTACTCTAAAAAAAGAACACCAGCTATGGGAGTGGGGGCCTATGTTTATTAGATGCGCCGAGCGAGCTGGACGGTCGCTCAACATCCATAAAACGATGCGCAGTGCAATTGAGAAGACCGGATTCGTGGAACTGCACGAGGAAAAGTACAAGATCCCCTTAGGACCTTGGCCTAAGGATATGTTACTAAAGGAGGTCGGACACCTCCAGGATGCCCACTAGAACGCTGCTCTAGAAGGTTGGGCGATGTGGCTTCTCACCCACTTCGGGGAGCCGGAGCCGTGGACGAAGGAGGAGGTGCAGGTGTTCCTAGCTAAAGTGCGCATAGAGCTGAAGGACCTATACATTCATGCGTATAATCCTGCGTTCGTTTTCTTTCAAATCGTGCTGCTGAATTGTTTGATGCTAATAACGTTCAGGCACCGCGTGTGGGCAAGAAAGCCTACCTTGGATGAATTGGAAGCGAAGGAGGCAACTTTCAAAGCTGAGCCATCACCGTAAAGCTCTTTTGAATCTTCATTGTAACCCAAATCTTAGGGTGCTGTTCACTATCATCTCCTGATCTTGATCAAGCTCAATCATCTAGCCAGATACCTATATAAATAAAACCTCTTGTTTCTTGAGATCCAGGCCATTTCTGGCATTAATATCGTGGTCAGTACTGCAAATTACGAGTTTCATTACTCGACCCCAGACGTCGGTTCTCTTGCCTGTTACGGCTAGTCAATGAAGTACATCGGGGCCGATTTGTATGTATAAACAGCTAGACAGTCTCGTCAGGGGAAGAGCAGACTTAGAAACCTCCTATATCAACATTATTGACCATTTCCCGACCAGCTGGGCAATGGACGGCATTGAGCTAGTAGACACGATTGCTCAAATTTACAGCATTCATGTATTTCAATAATGCATTCGGCTTCACTCGGTCTCCTCTGACTAGAAGCTGATACGTACTGTAACTGCGTTGGTCAAGCCACGTTTATCTGCAATTTGGAGCTCATGATAATTGCTACGAACTCGTCTATATATATAGTTCATGAGAAGAGCCCGTTATGTGGTTCTGAGCTGAAGAAGGGGCATCCCCTCTGGTTCACCATCAGGTGACTTCGCGGCGCTAACAATGTCGACAATTTCGATTGAATCGAGTTTGGCAGGCATGTTAAGCATTCCAATGGTCTTGTATGGGAGGAATCAGCTCGTTCCCAGGAATCGACTCGGCCCGAGCCAGAACACCCAAATAAGCGCAGCATGGTATGAGTTAGCTAGCTCTAATAAACGGATTATTCTGCAAGGGCGACTATCAATCACCACCCATCCGTTCCTTCTGAGACCAGAGGCCTGCATGAAGTATGTACCGGTCGCCATTTTGTTTTGGTTGTGAAGAGATTGGACGGAAATAGCGATAGGCAAGAAAATAAAGATCGGTAGTCGATGCAGCAAAGGGGCGAGTGGGAGATAATATGTTAAGCGAGCGCCCCTCTCGCACTTTCAGCTCCGTGGATGTGACCAGCAAAATAGGGCATACCCTCATTGGAATAACTGTGGGGACTAGATAGATCCATTCCGTTCACTTTCCGCAAAGATCGGCGTCTAGGAGCCGCGGCTGAGTGTATCGGGGTAAACAAGCGGGATGTATCGGGATGTATGTAGATCAGCGGTGGAACTTCTTCCAAGAATCAGATATAATTTCATTGTCCTTAATGTGAATACAGCGCGGGAAGTGACGAACTCATGGCCCTCTAGGTCAACTGGGACCGCTCGTCGTTTCAGTTGGCGACGATTAGGATGCGAACAATAATGGCTCTGTATTCCGTATGCCAATCCAGTTGAGAGGGTACTCGACGCCACTGAGATCCCATCCGTCCTTGATCGGCGAAGACCCATTTCCCAGCCAATTCAGATGAAGAGCTTGTGGCTTTGTGGAGACGATGATCCACCTGGTAAGTGCACAAAACAAAAACAATCCGGCAGCCCCCGACCACGCGGGCGAAAAAATACTTCCATAGCGCAGTCTATTTCTCTCTGAAAGCACACGACACCATGGGGGGATTACGCGGGCTCTGTTGCAGTAAAGGGGACAAAGGCGATAATGCCCAGGACGCCCCAGTCCGACCAGCCCAGCCACGCCCCGAGAGGGCCACGCAAAATACACCGGCAAGTGTGAAAAGGGAGACTTCCTTGGCAGATTCGACTTCCAGGAAATCGAGCCCGGGTGTACCAGTCCAGGAAAAGCCGATTCAGCAGACATTGGCCAAACGTGATCTATGGAAAGAGGCATTTGACAGCTTAGATCCTTCTCAGCAGGCGTACGTTGCTGTTAGTGGTGTTTCAACTACTGCGGCTATCGATCAAGTGATCAAAGATACGACCGCCAAGTACGAACAATGGCAGAAGGGCGGTTTGAAGATTCGTCGAAAGGATGGAAATGATATCAATATTCGTGATTGCGCTGAGAGAATTCTAGGCGCAGCTATGAAGGCCAGCGAGGTAATCTCGACGGCTGTGTCTTTCGATCCCACAGGCCAGGCATCATCTGCGTGGACGGTCATCTCGTTTGGAATGAGTGTACTCACTCCCTCTTTAGCTCAATATTGCGCACTGCGAATACTTACATGAACTACAGATTGTCCAAAACAGACTGGACCGTCGGGACGCCATTTTCGCTGCCTCGGAATTCCTCGCAGAGACCCTTTCTTACTACGCGTTGATTGATATCAATTACAGGAACCAGAATGTCGGAAGTGATCATAACCTTGACCAAGCCCTGCTTCGCGTCTATTCGGCAATTCTTGAGTTCACTGTCGAAGTGAAAAAAGGACGGGACGAAAATGAAGCAAGTTAGTTTATGGCTTTACATACCCCCATGGAAGTCTTAAATTGGTGTGGGATAGTTTGAGCTGATGTCTGAATGATATCTAGAGCGCACCTTGCAGAGCGTTTTAGCTCTCACCGACCAGCCCCTTCAGACTTTGAAAGACGCGGTCAATTCGCAGAGCGCGATCGCTGACAAGTGGGCCACCTTGGCCGCTAATCTCGGTAAAAACAAGGTTGACCTTCATAATATGGGAAAGTGTTAACGGCATACAGGGGATCGGAAGCGTGCGGCGGAACATCTCTCGAAGACAGACGCGCTCCTTGCGGACATGAAGAATCTTGCGTCAAAAGCGCTGACTGCCGAGGAAGAAGCTCAACTCGTTTGGATATCAGACGCCCCTTACTCGGATCGTCAAAGAGCTTTGCAAAAGAAGAGAACTAGTGACACCGGCCTTTGGCTTCTTGATTCCCCCGAATATAACGATTGGAAGACCGCCCCTGGAAGTCTGTTATGGCTTCCAGGGATTTCAGGCTGTGGAAAATCTGTCCTCTGCTCTACTATCATCCAGGACATACAAGAAGACTGTTCATTGGATCCATCTAAGCTTCTTGGCTACTGGTATTTTCAGTTCAGCGTCGATGCGACGAAGAGCGCTGATACATTGGCCCGATCGCTAATTCGACAATTGAGTCGATCACCTTTGTTGCCGGCAGTGACGAAAATCTGGGAAGACCATCATCTTAGGGGAAGCCAGCCTGGTTCAAATGCCGTCTTCGCCGTGCTCTATGATCTGCTCTCTAATGTGACTGGAGATGTTTACCTAGTTTTCGATGCGCTGGACGAATGTCCGGACGATGAAGAATCTAAGGAAAGAGGCCCGGTCCTCGACCTCCTTGATGGCCTTCTTGGGCGACAAAGTAAACAAGTCCGCATTCATATCCTTGTCACTAGTCGACCTGAGCAGGATATCAAGGAAAGACTTGTTCGGTTCTCAAAGATCGACCTAGAAGCCCACCTGGCCGAGGATGTGAAAACTTTTGTTACCTCATGTCTAACAAAACGCCCTTTAAACCGATGGGAAGCTGAAATTCATCACCTAATATATGCTGAATTGCTGAACTCTCAAGAGAGGTGTGTAATCCACTCTTCTTCAAATTCTCCCCTGCTGTATTACAGATTAATTATTAACATTTTGAACTTGCTTGTTAGACGTTTTCGGTGGGCAGAGTTGCAAATTATGGCACTTGAGAAATGCCGCAATGAAGATCAGATCAAACTCGCTCTGAAGACAATACCCCAATCGCTCGAGGAGACCTATCGAAAAGTTCTAGACAACATTGGTTCAAATGATGAGGCATTAGCACGTCAAATTCTCATCATCATTTGTCTCTCGCCTGTGATTCTTCACGCGCAGACGGTTGCGAATATGGTGGGGTTGAAATTCCCGGAAGACCTTGTCGACATCTGCACAACATCGTTTATCAGTTTGTTCGATGAGAAAGTCCAGTTAGCTCATTTCTCAGTGCAAGAGTTTTTGATTGTCCCAGAGGAAGGTGGAGAAAACCACCCATGCCAATTTTCCGCCACCAATGGCCACAAGTACCTCACGGAGAAGACTGTGGATATTCTTCTTGAGCAGACCGAAGTCTTAACCCAAAAAAGTGCAAAGAGCAACACCTTCCTCTACGCAGCGACGCACTGGGATATCCATATGACTGCTGCTGGAGGTATTGATCAGCTATCACCAGAGCTACAGGCTAAGATTAGCCGCCTCTTTACTGAAACTATCGTGTACTTGAACTGGGTTCGGGCAGCCGGAAGTAACGATCAAAGAGTGGACAATGAGTGGAGCAAGCGGCTCGAGGAGTGTCAACCACCAATTCACAGGGCCTCGATGATGGGCCTGGTCCAAGCGGTGGACTGTCTGCTTGCGCAAGGTGCAGACCCTCTTCAAACCCACAGCGTAACCTTGTCTTACTCGCTTGGATGCGACTCCTTTGTCGTGGCTGCCAATTCTGGGCACTTTGGAGTTCTACAAGCACTTCTGGATAAAGCCCCACCTTTGGAACAAGCTGTGGCCGGGATGATTCTGGTTCACATCGGCCATAGCAAGCCCGGGGAACCCGGATTGGCAGTCATTTTGCAAAAGTTGTGGGACCTTGGTCTATTCCGCAAAAAGTCCTCGGATGTTGCCAATGAAATTGATGAAATGCTAGTATGTCACAGCATGATGAACTGGCAATCAGTGGCGCTAGACATTATGGAAATTTTCCTGGATTGGCAGCCGAGGGTATCTGTGCCAATGTCGGATCGCATTTTCCTAACCGCAGTTTGCAAAAGCACAGATGTGCTCGACCTTCTCCTCGAGCGGTGTGAGTTCCATATCTCGTCGACTTTCTTAGAAGGGTTGAACAGCCCTGAATTCAGCAGTGGTGATAATAGGACCAGTGGACTTGCTCTCCTAGCCATCAAACGGCCTGATGAGTTCCCCGTGGACAACAATCTTTCTGAAAAATTCGCCGGAGATCTTAGCTTGGAAGAGATGAAATCTCTAATGCAGGTACGGAAGTCGGACATCTGCGTTACAGCAAAGGTCCTAGAACTGGCGGCCCTCAACACCGGACTTTTCGCCATGCTGTGGCCTGACAGGGAACCCGGCACAGTGATCACCGAATTGATGCTACGCAACGCTGTTACCAATGAATCCCATTCGAGGGAAATTTTGACTTTTATGCAAGAGCACATGGACCCACAGATGAACTCAAACGAGGAGACCATTCATGAACTCGTGTCCACCGCTACAGACGGCGTCGCTACTCTGGAACTGCTTCTGGGCCTGCCATCTTCCTCCTTCTCGGTATCCGAGAGACTGATCGAGATCATATCCGCTCACAAAGAGGCAACAGAAATGTTGAGCCTGTTAGTTAACAGAGGGTTTGAAGTCCCGATCACGGAAGGAATTGTAAGCTCCGCGGCCTCAAACCAGACACAAGGCCCTGCTGTCATTCAGTATCTATTGAACCTTCATCCAAAGCCTCTCCCAGTCACAGAATCTGCTGCTGTAGCAGCCGTTCAAAACTCTGAACATGGTGCAGAGGTTCTTGAAATACTTCTCCAAGATGCATCGTCTAGTTTACTTACGGATAAGGTCTTTGAAGAGGCATGTCAGAACAAAGCTGCTATGGTCGCACTCCTGAACCGACGCCAGAACAGTTTACCTATTGAGTCGATGCTACTCAGAATTGCGGACGATCATCTCTTTGGCTGGGATTCCGCTCATTTTTCTAGAGATATTCTACAGGTTCTTCTTGAACGAAATCTCGTGAACGTCGACGAAACCGTGGTGGAAACTTTGGCGGCCAACTTTTACGCCTTAGACGCTTTGTTATCCTGGAAGCCAGATTCACCAATCACTGAGAAGGCCCTCATAGTCGGTGCAAAAGACGACCGCTCGATGCGTGTGATGCTGGAGGCTGGAGGAAGTGGTCTACATGTCTCAGAGGATGTTTTGCTAGCCGCAACACAAACATATAACGCGATGGAGGTGATAAAGGTCATAGAGCATCGGTGTGGGCCGATTGACGTTACTGAGAACCTTCTGAGAAAGGCTATCCGGGAAGGGCCCGTATCATTGAACATCGGACTTCTTCAGCGAGCGCCGGAGTCTCTGGTTGCACCATTTCTTTCACCGAGCATCTGGCAAGATGCAGACTTGTGGAATTATAAGTCCAGATGCATCTTCCTGATGGGCGTTTTCAAGAAAACAGTCTCAAGAATCTCTGAATCTAGGTCACTAGATTTACCGTTTGATCCCGAGAAAGAGCGACATTCTCAGCTCAAGGAGTTGATTCTCTACAGAGAGGCTGAGCTATCAGAGCTACCTCCTGTTGAACTAGCCGCAGAAATTCTCGCGGAGCTGTGTTACAACGAAACGATTGAAAAATATTGTGAGGGAAATCAATTCGAAGTGACGGACCGTTTAATTGAAGCTGCCGAGAGAAATCGAATTGCGGATAAGGAGAAATTGAAGTCATTCCTGGTTCAAAAAAGATAGCTCAAGGAGGGACCTTGGCCATCTAAGACATCTGGCAAACAACATACTGGAGAAAGCCTTAGATATTCGTTGCAGCTTTGAATTTATAAGAGGACAGCCTAGCTAGCCATTGATGATTGATTTCGTGTCTCGTAATATAGATCAGATCAAGGGTGCTTTAGACATAGATTGCTACGTTTCTTGTCCTAACACTCGCAGCATGAGGCGATATTAGCACCGGGATAGCGTCCAAGTGACAATGCGTGTAAAAGTGAAAACGAAAAATCCACAGTGGAATATTGCAAGTGGCATCTAGACTACCTGAAATCTAAATGCGGCCTCTTGATATTTCGTTACACGCTTGATGCTCCCGGATTGTGCCCTTGTTGTCTCGGAGATAAGGCAAGAAGCGTGATGAGAGAGATTCCTCCAATGGCTACTGTAACCAATTCCACACTGGCCCCCATTTTGATGGTAATATTGATCATATTCAAGAAGCAACAGCGTTCCAATGCCCACGTATATTTGTTGCCAAAGGATTTACGGCGAGAACAAAAGTTTCCAGTACCATCCGTTTGATGGGCATCTGATCGAAGAACCGCGACCTAATTGTATGACTCTCAAGAGGAAGATAGGGAACCAATCGGAAACAAAGAAGAATGAAGAAACAGAGCGCAAATCAAGCGGGATATGATCTTCCATCTCAGTTGGCATGTCGCACAGCCCTGAGAATAACTCGCCATTCGCTAGCTTCCGTCATCTTCTGATAAGCAGCCTATTGTTATTCACTGACACCGGTATATATTCAATCGCTGCATTATCAATCTGGCTAAAGTAATTCTCTTATATAAAGAAGATTTCGACCTTTGATTTTTTGCCAACTCCTTGTCTACTACAATAGTGCCTATTGCCTCCTCCGGTAGAGTGCTGTATGCAGGAAATGATTACTTGTGAGTACTACAGTAAGTTCTACCAAAAAGATTGATAGCTAGAACATGTTTATTGATATCGAGAGATGTAATCATCAAGTTGTGATTGAGACATACACTTGTACTACTTAGGCTTCATCTACGACCAAGACCTGAACTCGTTGACGGCGAATCGGACGATGATAAGACGACAGAGGATGATTCAGAATCGTATTGATCGGACGACTTTTGATGATGCAAAGGCTCTCGGGAGAATTAAACGGCATCGTAGACTGTCAGTGAACCCGCATAAACTACTCTTCATACATTCTCTATGGAATACAGATCGGAAAACAGGATTATTGAGTCTTCCATGCATGATATCATAACTAATCCAGTAGCAGGTGATCCTGAGTATAAGTTCAATTCAGTCCCTTGATACTTGCACATTGCCAGTAAGCCAGCCACTCACGCAGATTCCACCTACCATGCATACAACCCTCGCTACCGCACTGCTAATTGTCAGCCTCGTCCGTTTCGAATTGTCTCGTCGATCAGTCCGGGGGAACCGTTTACATCTGACTAGACCTCGGAATTACCCTCGCGAGGGTCCAAGGTCCGGACCCTCGACCCTCACCTCGCAAGGGTTGGCTCAAAAAATTTGACCCTCACCCGACCCTCAACCCTCGCGCGGGTGACCCTCACTGACCCTCATAGACCCTCATTTTTCATAAAGTTTCTACGCTTTACTTGAATCGGATGGATAAAAATGCTGATTCATCTAATCAAATACTGTTATTTACACCTGTTCTAGCACGTTAAATGATAATAATATAGACCCACCAAGAATGAATTGAATATTGTTGAAATCCCTCTCGATCTGATTACTGCACACTTGAATTTTTCACATTTAGACCAGATATGTATAGAAGTCTTTAAAATTAGGTAGTTGGGAGAGGTTAGTGAACAGATGTACGCTGTTTTGGGTGCAAAGTATGTTGAGGTACATTCACCAACAACCATCAACACCATCATTAAACGGACTGCTAACAGAATGCTAAAATTGAAAACCTAAACACGCTGATTAGCTTCCATGGTGAAAGTGAGAATGAGTAACCACCTACGTCCGCTGGTCTATAAAATCCTCTAAGAATTGATGGACGTGCTATTGCCTGGACACTCGACTTCCTCCTACAGTCAGAATGGATGCGCCTAACAGCACGCCAGACCAGGAAAAAGAAGTAGAACAACAGCCCGATGCATTGTCAATCGTTTGTGAAAAGACAAGTCGCAGGAGGCTTCTGATCATGTCCCTCCACTGGTAAGTATGGCGGCTCAGCTTCCAATGCTCTTGCTGACCGTCGCAGCTCTCTCCCTCGCAACAGGAAGCAGAAACAAGACATACCTTGGCGACCGAGCCCTTTCAACCTATTCTGAAGGTGCTAGCAGACCTCGAACGCGACGATCCCAAGTTCGCCTTTCCCGCAGCTCGACTTATCGGACTCTATCGACGCCTATGGGAGTCGTGCGTGTCCAAACACATCGATGGCCAGAACCTAGAGCAGAGCAATCGTATCTTGAAGGAGGCTAGCACACACCTGACTAAAGAGAGGGACGGACTTCAGCTGCGCCACGACAAGCAGCTGTCTCGGCTGCGCTTTTTCGAGCAGACACTGGAATCATCTCGGGGTCGACTGACTCGCGTACTGGATGACTGGAACCACCCTCCAAGACTCAATCTACCCGGGTTCTTGGACAACGCAAGAGAAGAGTGAAGCATTGTATATTCTAGATTGTTCTATGTCTTACTTTTACAACGTGGAAAATATGCAATGTTGAAATGAAGAGAATTACTGCTTGGAGATCAGCTTATGCTTTTTCGATAGTTCACACTAAGAAGGGTATATTATAGCCTTCATGGAATGTGTCTGCGAATAATCCCACATATTCTGGGACAATCTCACTTTAAACCACAGTGAAGTGCGGAGTGAATACTTTACAGTGTCGGCAAGGATGTTGACAAGTCTCCACACTGATTTGTTGTATTCTTCATTCACCCGAGCAGTTCCCCGGACGTCTTGATCCCACGATTTTTGTTCCGCTGCGGACTCATCGGGAAACCGGGGGCGGGGGCTAGACTTGTATTCCTTTGATTGAAGTAGGCCGTATCTTCAGTGACACCATTTTTGAACATTTTCATGAGTTGAGCATGTTGTACACTGGTTACTGGTTTCCTGGCGCTAATAAAACTACCGCGAGGAGTCAATTGCAAATTCAAGACAATGGAGGTACACGTCGCTGCTTGGGTACTGTAGTCCACTCACATATTTCTCATACATCTTCTTCGTAATTTATCTGAGAGATCGGTACGCGGCGCGAGCAACGTTGAGCCAACCACATCTCCTAGTATCCTCGGGACTTTTACGACAGAAATACAGGAGGCAAGATCTAGACTAAGGGAAAAAGAAGCCAGATTTGTTTGTGGTTTTTGTATTCACCATTACATACGGTAGGAATTGTCGTTGTCTGAAGTCCTGACTACCGGCCCCTTTGCCTAGAGAATCGCCTTCTCGCGGTGCTTGCCGAACTTACATGGCCATTTCGCCCGAAGCTGCACGATGTCGTCGCACTTATACACCCCAGTGGTTCCTATCCCTTGGTAAATATAGGTCTAATAGCCTGTATTTGTCCACTGAAATTACGCAGCGAAGTCGCAGCCTCATACTGATTCGGATAAAACGGTTAACGCATCTCTCCATGTTGCTCAGAGTGACGCTAGCCCCAAATAGGCAGCCGGAGGACGAGGAAGAATAAATTACGCCAAAGAATGCGAAATACGACCAAGATGGTCGATTATTGAGAGAATATCGGAACTTGGAGTAGAGGTATGCGCATTAAAATGTAGTGGCGCATCACTGTAACCGCAGTACGAAGATATCCGTAGGACAGGAAATTTAGGGCGAAAGAGGCATTGCAGCGCTAGAGGTATTTAAGAGTGTAAATATGTGGCTTTTGCGCTGTGGTCTATGTCGTGTATCTTTCCGACTCATCTCCATATTCAAATGAAAAATGACTCTGACAAACTTCACAACACATGCCCTTGATGGCTTATGTACTCAAGAACAGCTAGACCTCTTGAATTCCATCGATACACTCCGATCGCAAGGCATCAGCCACTACATCTCTCTTCCACAAATAATCATATGCGGAGACCAATCTTCCGGAAAAAGCTCCGTTCTCGAAGCAATTTCCGGCGTTTCTTTTCCAGTGAAAAGCAGCCTATGTACTAGATTCCCAACTGAATTGGTTCTTCGGAAGAACTCGTAGGTGGGAGTTCGGGTTTCCATTGTTCCTCACCAATCGCGCAGCGACGTAGAGCAGCATTCACTTGGCAGTTTTTGCGAATAACTCGACGGATTTGATAGCCTTACAAACTTGATAGAGAATGCAAAGGCAGCAATAGGAATGTCAACTCACGGAAAAGCGTTTTCAAATGACCTTCTGCGGGTTAAGGTTTCGGGCCCTAACCGGCCACATCTAACAATCGTCGATCTTCCGGGACTGATCCACTCAGAAACACGACAGCAGTCGGCGGCCGATGTATAACTAGTCCAAGATGTGGTTCAGTCATACATAAGAGAATCACGAAGTGTCATCCTTGCTGTTGTCTCCGCCAAGAATGATTTTGCAAACCAGATCGTCCTTCGTTTAGCGCGGGACGCTGATCCATCCGGCGACTAGACATTAGGCGTTATCTCAAAGCCCGATACGCTAGTCCTAGGATCTAAAAGTGAGGCTTCGTTTGTATCGCTCGCTAAGAACCAAGACGTGGAGTTCCGTCTAGGATGGTATATGTTGATGAATATGGATTCGGAGAAAGGCTAGTGGAGCTTATCCGACCGGAACATGCAAGAATTGAACTTTTTTTCCTAAGGCATCTGGGAAGACTTACCTCGATCACTTGTGGGTGTGGACTTATTGCGAAATCGTCTAAGCAGTCTGCTCCTTGATCAAATTGTAAGTGAACTTCTAAGCCTAATCAACGAGATAAATTCAAAGATCGATTCCTGTCGGTCGCAACTCTAGAAGCTTAGCGACCCTCGCGCAACATTAGACGAACAAAGGTCGTATCTTTTGCATATTAGTCAAGTATTCTAATCTCTAGTCAAAGCAGCAGTGGACGGCACTTACAACGAGCCTTTCTTCGGAGATGCGAAAACAAAAAATGGGTACCAGAAGCGCGTCCGAGCAGTCATTCAAAATCTGAATCAGCAATTCATGGAAAAGATCTCCCGCCATGGCCATTTCCGCCATGTGCTTGAAGGTGAAGATCAAAGATCGGGCTCCAAAACTCAAGTATGTCTCATAAGAAAGGAATATGTTTAGCATATCGAGACGCTTCTCAAAAAGACAAGGGGTCGAGAGTTACCTAGTACTTTTAATCCTTTGATCGTTAAGGATCTATTTCAAGAACAATGCGGCCCGTGGGAAGACATAACACACAGCCACATTACCGCGGCTTGGACGGCTGTAAGAGAGTTTCTTTAACATACAGTTTCCTACGTGGCAGACGAGGCTACTTTAAAGGCCCTGTTCAAAAAGGTGATTCTGCTAGCTCTAGGGAATTTGCGACATGCATTGGAGAAGGGAAGCGAAGAGCTCCTTATGCCGCATCAACGAGGCTATCCTATCACCTATAACCACTACTTCACCGAAACACTCTAAAAGACTCGCACTGATCACCAAAAAGAAGCCTTCCGCAAAGCTCTTCAATCATATTTTGGTGTTGATACTCTTTCAATCTTTTAACCTCTGAACCTATGCTGCACGCCATCAATCTTCAAGGGCTTTTCAATTCTCTTCTTCAGAATACTATACTAGACATGACACGTTTTGCGTCCGAGGAGGCACTTGACTATATGCTCTCCTACTATAAGGTATATCCTTCCTACCGCCTAAATTTCAAATCCTCTGATTAAATTGTTGATGCCGAAAATAGGTTGCACTCAAATGTTTTGTTGATGATATTGCCACCGAAGTAATAGAAGTCAAGCTTCTTAGTGCACTGCCTACGCTTTTTACACCTATAACTGCATTCGAGATGCCTAAAGACTTGCTCGGTTAAATAGCAGGTGAATCCGAGGAGAGCCAAAGCCTCCGGGAACAACTGAACAAAAAATTGTGGATCCTCACGAAAGGTTCAGATACTTACAAGCGATTCGTTGGTATCAGAGGCCTTAGTAAGCGAATTCAGCTTACACTCATACTTATACTGACCCAGTCTGTAGAGTTGAACAATGATTTGTAGGCTAGCTTACAACAAAATCGGGATAGATTGTCCTCTAGCTCTTCTAGCTCGATCGAGCTACATGAGGAAGCTGATGCAATTGACCCTGAATCAGTCGACGAGCAGTCCAGATCACCCAGCCCAGAGCAACCTGCCAAACATGGGTATGCTCTGGAATATACCAAAGAACCGGAGCAGCTGTTAGCAGCTTCTATTCCCACGAAGAGTGTCAAAAAGAAAACAAAGAAAAAGTCTGCCAACTTCCATCTCTCGTCGAACCGGCTGGTGAGGCTCCTACGGAATGAGAGTCGCTTGGTGATGGGAATTGGGAGTGCGTTTCATTCCCCCCACCCAACCACCAGAAAGTCACTCTGTTGTTGGAAATATAGTTGACTGTGAAGGTCGAAATCTAAAGCACAGTCTACCAATTTTAGTACAAAACAATCGTTGAATCAATATGTACAGATCATTTTTATTCTTTTTATTCAATCCATTCATTTCCATTCAAAGTTTCTATCTGTTAAAGTTGCCGTCAAACGCTAGTGAGAATTACAGAAGTTTATAAACCGGCGATTTAACGGGGGTTGGGAAGGAGGGAATGTCATAGGCATAGCAGACATTTGTTTATTTTGACTACAAGAGCCAGGAAATTAGGAGAAATTTATGGCCAGGTGCTAAGTTGCTGGAAAACCAAGCGTTGGGTGTATTAACAGTCTGAAACGTTAACACCCCGTCACTAAGCCCAACGGAATCTTCATCGGCCCCTGCATGGACCTCCTCTAACATCAGCGACGATACTCGGGAGAGAACACAAATACATACAGTAGAATTCGAAATCAGTTTTAACTCCACACTCTTGTGATTTGATTCACGAGCCCTATTTTGAAACACGCTAGCTCACATTTGGAATAGTGGTCGATCTATAATTTCCAAGAATAGACATTGTATTTTATATGACGAAGGTGGGACCCCGCCTTGTGTATCTTACTCGTAAATGCCATACAAGGGTAATTCTCTTCTATACCGCCCACTCTAAGTAGGAGGCATCGTCACTCGTCTATCTCTCTTGTATGTCACAATTGATCTCACAAAATGGCTCCGAGACTTCCACAATCTAAGCTGTATCTTATCCGCGACATGATAGAAAGCTAGTCACTTGGCACATCTAAAATGGCCGAAGAAGCAGAATGCAGCTAGGCTACGATCATAAATATTCGCGCAAACTTGCGGCAATTTGGAAGTGTGCACGCACCCCTAACTCGAATAGGACGGAAACGAACTGTAACACCACTGATGATCGAAGCCCTTTGCAAACACCTATCTAAAAAGCCCGGTTTATACCTCGATGAGATGGCTGTCTTCCTCTGGGATGAATTCCGCACCCTAGTCACAACCTCCAGCATTAAACGAGCCCTTGTTGCCAAAGGTTGGTCTAAAAAGGGCACTCGGCAGCAAGCGAGGGAGCAAAATGCCGATTTGCGAGAATGGTATCTGCATAATTTATCGGATTTTCAGTCGTATTAGCTGGTTTATGTAGATAAATCCGGATATGATAAAAGGGTTGGGTTTAGGCGCACAGGCTGGTCACCACTTGGTGTGTCCCCTATGCAAGTATCACAATTTCACCGCGACCAGCGATATCAGATACTGCCTACGTATGCCTAGGATAGAATCGTTTTCTCGCGCGTCTTCCGTGGGTCCACAGATGCCACCGTGTTCGAGGACTTTATAGCGCAGCTTCTTTAGCACTGCGGAAGATAGCCCGAACCTAAATCTGTTCTGGTCATGGACAACGCCTCGTTTCATTATTTAGGGCGGATAACGCAGATATATGTGGATGCAGGGGTAAAATTGGTCTATCTGCCACCCTACTCGCCAGACTTGAATCCGATTGAAGAGTTTTTCGCTGAGCTCAAAAGCTTTATTAAACGCAACTAGAGTTATTATGAAGTAGACCCCGATCAAGGCTTTGATGCCTTTCTTGGATAGTGTATTGATGTGGTCGGTGCAAAAGAAGAGAGTGCTAGAGGTCATTTTCGGCACGCAGGCTTGAAAATCGAAGAAATATCAGAAAAAAGCTAGGTACAGTACAATTGAATGAAGACAACTTTCACACGCGCCTTCATGGTGTAATGACTATTTGTCATGGGGACACTCATTAAACCAAGGGTCATCAAGAACTTGTCTCGCTGACGCTCTTGCAGATAGCTCAAAATGCAATAATCTTCCAACGATTTGTCCCAGCCTCACTATGTCCTCTTGTGTGAGGTCGGGACTCAGCGGGCCATCAAAGTATACTTCTTCCAGCCATTCCTGCAATTTGGGCCGGTGCTTTCTGGGGCCATGAAGTCCCCTGTGTTCATGGTATTCCATTTATCTTGCCATCTTTCAGGTAGTTCATCGGTTGCCATCTCTCGCATTTGGCCAACAAGGATTGTGGGCGTTATTAGGAATGTATCGAAAGGTGGCTGGCTCACGAACAGTTGAAAGAGCTGTCAACCTATTGGCTTGGGTTTTTATGGATTACCCGAGTGCTGGATAAGCATTGTTCTTCTCTGCCACTATAACTTGGAGCTGAGTATTCCAAGCTTCTATTGTCAGCCCGGCGTGCCGAAAATGGCCTTTTGCCCTCTCTTCTTTCACACCAACAAGCTTGTGATGACCTGTAAATCCGTTTTTCCGATAAAAATGAACCGGTCCCGCTTGATTGTGGGACGCATTTCGAGCCTGCTGTGCAAAAGTCCGCGATTTTCGGTAGTCACTGGCTCCGTACATCAGCACTCATACTAGCATTGAGTATACCACTTACTGTTCTTTTGTCCATCTTTATGTTGAGCTCGCTATAAAATTGCAGGCTAGGTGTTCCTCATTAAGGGTTATTAGGAAGGCCTCGCGGATCGTCCCTCCGGAGTTCCGGAAATAAATGGTCCCACACCCCAACCCACATCGGTACTTAAAGCTACTTGCTTTTCCTTCTCCCTCTTAAGTTTGACTTTTGAGGAGTTTTAATTGCAGGCCTTGGATTCACTGCTTCTGTTATGTCTCTCAATGTTGCCTCCATTCAAGTTCTACAGCGGCCAGTAATGCGCCCGGAACTTTCAGACAGTCGATACGACGGACCCGACGCATGCACAAGCATCCTTCCACGGGGCTTTAGAAAGTCCCCAGAGAATGCGCCATTCCAAATTGATACGGTCTTTGAGAAGGATGTGAAGATAAGCCTGCGGGATGGGACGCAGATCAGGGCCGACATATTTCGCCCGCATGATGCTGCAGGATCAGTTCCTGGATTGATTGCTTGGAGCCCATATGGCAAGACAGGTAGAGGTAAGCTCAACTTCTTATAGATGTTACTGAAACTTCCTAAAGATCCTTTAGGTCATTTTCGCTTGGATGTAGTGCCAGGCCGCGTCGGTGTTCCAGTTGCCAGATTGTCGGGGTTCGAGAAGTTTGAGGCCCCAGACCCAGCGGAGTGGACAGCACGTGGATATGCAATAGTGAATGTGGACTCCAGAGGTGTTTATGATTCGGAAGGTGATATTCGGTACGTGAAGATGTATGGTGAAGATGTGGCGATATGTTAATTGAAATTACAGCTGGTTTGGCTCTGCCGAAGGTAGGGACGGCTATGACGTCGTGGAGCAAGTTGCAAAGATGCCATGGTGCAGTGGTAGCATTGCTCTTGTTGGAAATTCATGGCTTGCTATGGCACAATGGTTTATCGCTGCTGAGCGCCCGCCACACCTTAAGTGCATCGCGCCATTGGAGGGTGCAAGCGACGTATACCGTGAACTTTTGTGCCGAGGTGGCGTTCCTCAAACAGCCTTTTGGGATTATTTGGCAAACTTGATGGTTGGTAAGTACTGCTATGTCATACATATACATAATGTCTCTTTTCTCACATGCCTCGAGGTCGAAACCAACAAGAGGATGTAAAGGCAATGTTGGAAAAGTATCCTCGCACCAATGAATACTGGGAAGACAAAAGAGCGCAGATCAGTAGGATCGATGTACCTGTCTACGTTCTTGCGAGCTATTCAACGTTTTTGCATACTATGGGTTCTTTCAGAGGGTTTGAAGAAATTCAACATAAAAACAAATGGTATGATCTTGATTTCTTCGTTTCGTTCAGAGGCAATGGTCTAATCAGCAATACATAGGCTCCGTGTCCATCCTACGCAGGAATGGTACGACCTTTACCAACCCAGTACCAATGATGAACTTCAGTTATTCTTTGATCGTTATACGAAGGATATTCAAAATGACTGGGAAAAAACCCCGCGGGTTCGAATTTCCCTACTGCAATTCAACAGGGTACTAGTGCCCCCTCATGTTCGAAAGGCTTTTTCTAAACCGCACATAGGAACCGATTACGAACGTCCCATGCGATGACTGGCCGCTAGCATCAACTAGACATGAAAAGCTGTTCCTCTGTGAGAATGATTCATTGGCAAAAACCGCACCTCTTGACGGAGGCAGTGTTTCTTATCAGTCCGATGAGGTCAGCCTACAGATGGACGCTGACCGTGAGGAGCTCTCTTTTCAATATACGTTCCCGCATAGAGCCCTTTTTGTGGGCTGCGCTCGTGTTGTTCTATACATGTCATGCAACGACCATGATGATATGGACGTATTTGTGCAAGTCCGCAAAGCGGACAGGAAAGGCCGGACCCTCCAAAATATGAACATTCCCCTCAGCGATTTGAATATGGATGCTTATGATGTTGATACCGTCAACCCGTTAAAATACCTCGGTCCAACAGGCGTCCTTCGGGCCAGTCATCGTGATATTGATCTTGACCTGTCTAACACGAGCTGGACTGAACATGATTACAGTCGAAATTCCCCTGTCCCTCGGGGGCAAGTTGTTCGGATGGAAATCGGGCTTTGGCAAACTGGCATTGTTTTCGATGCTGGCGAAAAGATTGTTCTTAAAGTGTCCGGTCATAACATGACGCTAGCAGAGTTCCCCCCATTACGGGGCGCACTCCTAAACGGGAATGTCGGAAGCCATTATGTTCACTTTGGGGGCTCCTATCAAAGTCACTTGTTGGTCCCCTTAGTTGATCTGCCGCTAGGAGCCCACGAGGAGACTACATTATGTGGGACTCGAGCATCGGGGTTATGATGCGATATCAAACGAGTTATCCTGTGTATTGTCCATATAGGTTTCGATCAGAAAAGGATTTGCCTTATCATACAGATGTACTCCATGAACAAAAGCATCGGAAAGTGTAGTAGGAGTGGAGGTGGAATAATGCCGATCGCCAGATCTCTCTCATCTCGAAGCGCCGCCTAGAGTACTGGGGCTAATTTTTTTGTATCTCCCATTCTGTGTAATTTGGAACATATAGTATAGTACATATTTACAGAGACTTCAGGTGTATTGTGAGGGACTTCGTAGGAAAAACTGAACGTAAAAGCTTGAGTCACCAACAAGGCATTCACCTCAACTAACGAGCGAAGGCTAACACGACCGAAGAGGAGCTCTATATGGCGCCGGGGCTTTGGCGCTTCTTCTAGAAGAAATTTAGCATTGGTAGTTGCTAAATTATCTCATCAATAGGGATTGCTTTCTTCACATTCTCGACCCAGCGCCGAATGTCTTCTACGAACCATCGAGCAATACCTATCTTTATGCCCTTTCCGATAAAGAATTCTGGATCTTGATCCTTGTAGACCTGCTCAAGATCAAGACCATTGTCGGTTATCATGTCACAGATCTCTCGAAACGCAGCCTTGAGAGTGTCATTAGTGACATTTGACACCTGCCATTCACCATATTCCTTGACCGCTTTATCCCTAGGTCCAGGGATCTCAAGCGGGCCTGGAGATTGCATGGACTAGAAGTCAGCAGAAACCTGTGCAGCCGCAGAGACGGAAGACTACGAGGGCAGGACATTGATATTGATAGCAGGATATGGTACTCCATTTCCAGTCATATATCCTCCTTTGCGATTGTTCTTTTCCTATCTCTATTGCTCTTCCATATATAATTCTTCGCATACTGTTTCTGGCACATTCTTGTGCCCGTCTAACACCCCACCCTTTTCGACGTGGGTAACGAGCCGCTTTAGATAATAAGTCTTTAGTTAGTAATGCTTTTTTCCTATTGGATCTACCTAACAATATAGGCCCAATAGGCAAGTCGAGGATATATATCGCATTAGATTGTAGACGCTGCGCTAGACAGGTCTTTCTCTAGAAGCATCCTGCTCGGCATTAATCTAAGCGGCTCTCTTATCGAGCATTCTCTTCGTGACGGAGGCTTTTCCTCTTTTCTCCCCTTTCCGACTAGCGGCTAGAGGAGAGTGACGATCGTCTACGTAATTGAAACTAATCTTTAGCGTGAGCTCTTTGCCCCGGGAGAATAGACCTAACCACATTAGAAGCTATTTCTCGATAGCGGTCTAAATGATTTCGGTATCATCAAATCGTTTAGTTAAATTGCGCTAGGTTCGGTCCTTCACTAAAACAACAATTGCAGTGTTATCAGCTCTTACCTAACGATGACGGGCAATTTTTCGTCGAAGAACTTTCTCTTATTTCTTCTCTAAGAATAGCTGCCAAAAGGCACTAGGGGCCAATTTGACACCTCTCGATTATTGACTATAACACGCCACTCTATATAGTAGTGTATATAGGTCGGCGGGTCCTTGTCGTATACTCTTCCTTCTTCCTATTTAGACAACTAGAGCAGCCTAAGAATATCTAACCGTGACTGATCTTCTAGCATAACAGAGGGGGAGGGACTATAGTTGAACCGTGTTGTATTGGGATTACCGAAATATCTAGGTGTTAGAGCGTACTATGAGTTGTTTTCCTATGTTGTAGGATCTTTAGCATAGGAGATGAAATCGTCTTGATATATGCTCTGTGTTATCTCTATAGTACGATGGCAGTTCTAGGAGGGTCTATGTCAGCTTCCCTAAGTACCGGATTTCTTTCGGACTTGGTAACGAAGGAGAATCGTAGTGGGTAGCAGAAGCTAGAGCTATAGAGAAATAAGTTGCGTACTAGGATAAGTTCTCTATAGCGTCACTACAGCCTTCTTTTGGATGCAAAAGAGTGTGGGCGAAGGCTGCGCGTGATAGATAGCCCAAGCAAGACATAAAAGAATGAAAGAAGATCTTGCCAGATTGTTAGGATTCTCTTTTGTTTGATCTATTTGCACTATGGATTCCATTAGTTTCTACAAGAAATTACGGTACTATAACGATGACTCATTGTGGTTACTAGTGAATACAATACAGCCCTATAAGGATTCACAGGGGAAGAGCTAAAATTAGATTAGCGTGTCTCCACTTAGGGTCCGGGAATTAAATCGTAAGAGTTTAGAGTTAAAACTGATTTCGAATTCCACTGTAGCAGAAATATCCAAACGTGTCCTTATCCACGAGTGTCAAACAATACTGAGACCTTATCAATTCCCATCAACACGGCAGGCTTGAGCATCACTCGCTTGCAAGGCTAAAACCACGCCGTTACAAAGGGCCTGAACTACTCGTTTTCGATCCCACAATACCAGTTTCTGTTCCTCGCAAAGCTGCACGAGGATGTCACTGTCGCTTACTAGCCACTCATTCAACTCCTGAAGCTGTCGCTGCTTATCCTTAAGTCGCATCTTCTCGGTAGATTTGACCACGTAGCATTCCTATAGGCAAAAGTACAGGTCAAGCAGTTTCAGGGCTGGCGTAGCGAGGGTGTTATTGTATTGTAGAATTTTCATAAACTCCGCCGTCAGGGCACTAGGTGTCACTAGGATCTATAGAGTATTAATGTATCTGTTTATTTCCTGCCGAAGAGGGTATGACTGACCTTGGGCTCGATGATTGTGCCGTTTGAAGATTCTTGTGGGTGGTTTTCTAAGGACTCATCTTCTCTATCTTAGGACATCCGACGCTATCTCTTGGCTAGCCGATCAATTGGAGAAGGCGAGGTGGGATTGTCTATCGTGGCTGTGGAAATAAAATAGAGGAAGAGTTCTGCTCGAGAGCCTTTTATAGACCGGTAAGTCACAGCAAGGCTGCTGTGATTGCACTCGTATCCCCTCGGGTCTGGTTTTCAACAGCGCTGAATAGTTTAGTAAACAGTTACTTAACTATTGATGCTCGATCTCACCTATTGTTCACCCAAATACTTAGTTATATAAAGAATTAGGCGACAGGTGAAGCCTTACAACACATATTGCAGATGATATCCCTAATAGTGGCCTATAAGTGTATTCCTAATACATTAGATCCTAAATCGAGTAGAGTTCGTTAAAGTTAATTATAACGTTATTATGACTGCGAACCATCTAAACGACGGTGATATAGATTTCGATTTTAGATAGCGCTTCATATCACGAGAGTTACCTAAATTAAATATCACTCGTCTTTATAGTCCACGGCCTATGTGTCTCCCTAGCAACGGCGCCAAAATCGTTTGACCGGAGTTATCATCTTCTATCCGGTTCCTAATAATCCTTCGGATGTAATAGTCACTTCCTAACTCTAAAGATCTCCTTAAACTACCATTTTGTCAGTCTTCTACAAACTACAAGCGCAAATACAATTAGGACTTATCAAAAAAAATGATAATTTCTTGTTTCCCAAAGCTTAAGCGAAAGCTTCAAAATTCATCCAAAATCTTTTCTCCCTATCGATCAAAATATCTCCTAGATATCCCTACTACTGTTTCAGAATCCGAACGCACGCGGCGATTAGCTGCCCTATCCCTAGAGGTGTCCCTAACAAACATAAAAAACCATGGAAAAGAAACAACAGACACCTCGATTGACTTATAGTCTATCACCACAGAGCGTCACAAAACAGAGTCAAGCTTAACTTATCATCTAACTTAGATCCCGCGAGGAGAGTAGCAGGCTGCGGGTAGGTTATACAAAAGCAAAAGCTTTCGGGTGGCTACTTCCGTGGGAAATATATGACAGTTACCAGAGAATATCAATCAACTTTCTTTATCGAAGAACACCGTGCTTATCACTAGAGGCATATAACGGATACAGCTTAACTAAAGAGGTTTCTCGTCTTAAGAAGATTCGGACGACGAATTTTCACGGCTCCGGCTAACCTAAGCACCGCTCGATTTGCCTCTTCGGGCAGTCTTTCCTTGTTTTTAAGAATACCTTATTAGGGAACACGGCTATGTTAACGCTGTAGGGCATACTGCTTAGCCACGTATATACCAATAGAGGCGAATCATGAATTTCCGATTGACCTATAACATCTTTGGCTTGATCTAGGCGATCATCTAACAAACGCAAAATTTGGTCGGCCCACACCTTTCGTCGAGAGCTATAGCGTCTGCACTCAAAACAAAAAAGTTGCTTTGCAGCCAAAGATAATCTTTGCGCTAAAGGATATACGAAAGAAGAGTTCTAGGAGAGCTGAAAGCACAATACTCCATTTATCCGGGAATCAATCGGCACGGTGTTTTGACAGTGATCCTATATGCACCGCTCACGGTGCAGGGGATCGCCTAATGCTTAGCCCGATATACATTAGAGATAAGTAGGATTCTAGGCCATAATAAGGAATAGCTATAAATGCCTCGGGGTGATTGTGAGATCTAGAGTGTAGTTTTCCGCTTAGAGAGTTCTATTCTCGAGTGGTATCTATGATCAAGTAGGAAGAGTGCAATATATAGATGCTTAAGAAAGCACGTAGTGGGACTTTACTTCTCGCTAGGACCTTACATGCCTAAGCATGAAGTCCGGGCTTATTTAGCGACCGAAATTTCTCGTCTCATTCCTGAAAAACGGTATAAATTCCTAGGTGCTCTAGTCGCATTGTTCAAGGTTATATATAAAGCATACGCGTTGCGTCGAGTAATGATATAAGGGCATACATCTAGGCCCCCCTAAACGCGAGGAAGCGGAAGCGGCTTTCTCGCGCTACGTCTTATACTTAGAGTCAACTATAGTTATTCTTAATATTGGTTATTCACCTCTAGACAATACCAGCCTCTATATACGCGTGAGACTTTCACACCCGAACCAAATCTATTGGGAGTATCGCTTCATTTCCAGCACGAATCCCAGTTCCAAGAGTTCTAACGCGCTAGTGCCTTGTCTGGGATTTCAGCTAAGTGTAACCTTGTTGAGTGTGAAGACACCCAACTTTGGGGTCGGCGGGATAATCTTTGACAAATCCTCTTACCGGTTTTGATTGGACTGTGGGAATTTATGCATTGGCTCTAGAAACGCCAAAAGCAATTCTAGGAGCTGTGCATTCATTGGGAGCTCCAACTTAGCTCTCCGGGCCCTTCATATTCCCGAGGAAAAATTATTCCTGGGACCTTCTGTCCAGTTCCTGAACGAATAAGAAATGGCTCTGGGAACATATCGGCTGGATCTAGGAGCTGTTGCCCTCCTGGGGACCTACCTCTGGGTCTTAGAGTCAACCTTATGCCTCCGAGGGTCAAGAAACAATTCTTAGTAGACACCTTCACCAGAGCTGCGCACAAAACTGAGTCATTCGATTATTCCCAGAATGTCAATTCATAGTACCAGGAACCACGCCTAAGTTTCCAGGAGTTAATGAAGCTATTTTGACGGTTCATGGATGCTCGGGTTTTACCACTACGCCATCTGGCCAAAAAGACACAATGTTTGGTCAGCGACCAAACACCCAAGTTACTATATATGCTCGATCCCTGACAGCTATCAACAGGAACGCGGCTTTGGTTTGACGAGAAAAGAAGGCCTCGGAAGTTACGTCGGGTTTTCTGGGGAGTATTTCGCTCCTAGAATCAGCTTCTGTGCTTTCAGGAACTGCATCAGCGCCTCCAGGAGCAAGGGAACTCCCAGGACTAACATGTGGGTTCCCATGGGCCGATACAACCGCCAACGGGAATATCAATGGATCAATAACGTCCTACAAGCTTCCTACAATTTCCTGGCTATGTAATCTCTGGATGCCTCACATGTTTCCAAAGTCAGCTTTGTAAAGTCCCTACACATACAATGGTTGGTGAAAAATTATACACAATTGATCAACAGCCAACATGTCTTTTGCACCAAGCAACTTCAGGATGAGCGTTAACGTGAGGACACTGCTCTAAAATCGGCCATGATTGGTTGGCTAGTCAATTCAAAACATGAATACGCATTAAACTCAGTCAATCATTCTAATTGATGAGCGGTCTTAGCAATTCTGTACTAAAATCAATTTCTTTGCATGGCTCCATCCGCCGCATTTCTCAATCGATTTGGATTTCGCTCTGCCTCCCCCTTCCCACCCCAAAAAACCGCCACTTCCACTGTTTTGTCCGCTCGGTGCTCGTACTCTGCTAGTGGCCGCGCAGGTCACGTACAAAGCGCACGGGAGACACGATGGCCACCAGAACCCCGAAAGCGGCCTGGCCAACGGCTCCATAATACATGATATTGTAATATTCAAAGTGGCCCTCACTGTCAAAGATTGAAAATGAAGTTTGAAAACCACGCACGCGGCTGGCAACATAAGCCCCTATAGAGAGGACGGTTAAGCCGACGAAGAGTTGAAACCAGTGATCAGAACTGAACTGGCAAGCACTTTATCCATCGGTGTCTCCACTCTCCGTCCACACGTATTTATCTCTTATATCGGGCGCCTGGATTCTAGGTTGATTTTTTCACCTTGGCCCGTTCGTTTTCCTAGGTGGTTTTTTCTGCTTGTTTGAGCACAGTCGTCGCCACCCCCACAATGTCGGAAGAGACGAGGGCCACCCCGTACATCTTGTGAAACTTTTATTGCCTTAACCTCTCCCTTCAGCTTCGTGCTTTTTTCTTGCCGTTTTATACCCTCCCCCTTCTCCCCTTCCACCCTCCTAGCCAAGCCATTCCTTGCCCTTACTTTCCTTGCCCTCGCTGCCTGTCTCGTCTCCTAATTCAGTACACTCTGATTGGCAAGAGGCCAATATCGCTATTTCGTTCGCGATTTCTAACTTACTCCTGCGCCGTCTACTAGTCTCCGTTTGGGGTCGAGTGCCCCCAACTTTCAAGCGGAAACTTTGGATGCAAAAGAGGCTCTGTTAGCCTCGGAGGCGATATAACTACAAATTTTGTACCGCGGAAGGAGGCAAAATAGATCGGGGACACGCTCGTTTAATCTACATGTATTTTGACAGCTGTCGGGTTACCAAAGGCCAAGTCTTCGTACAAATACATTCTAGCTCATGTTCAACTGCCTGCCTTTTCACTATGTTCATTAGAGCGTCCAGTATGATTTCGAGCGTTTGATTGACTCCCTTGACGGACTTAACCTTTCACTATCGTTTTCACCGACAGTGCCTAAGATTAATAAGTACTCAAGCTAGCATATCAACCAGTATCCACAGATAATTAGCCTGACTACAGGCTTTTGAAGTATCAAAATCCGCAATAGAAGTCATTCTCGACGCTGTAAGTTGTGCCATTTCTTGAACACGTTATCCGGGTCATATTTCGTTTTTAAGAACCGCAGCCGGGGTAGGTTTGCCCCAAAAATATCTTCTAAAGCTACTCCCTTCCCTGTATTTTGTCAGCCATTTTGTACATTGACAGGGAATAACTAGGGAGGAATAATCTAACGTACCAGCAAAATTAGCGTACACTACCCCTATACCCTGATTATGACTCTCATAATCTCGTATTCCTCCGCATTCTTCAACCTCCTTCAGAAACTTTTGATGTAGATTGTACATCTTTGTGTCTTGATCTGGATCGTGCCAGCAGAAAATAACACACGCGTTGTAGTTGTGCCCCCGATTGGCGCAAGCAGTGGCCTCTACTGGCACTCTGGCAACCTCAGCATATGGCAGCAGCTGAAATGTCAATGTAGATTCCTCAACGCGTCGGTTCATGCTCATTATTGTTTCGTATTGCTGAAAGAGCTGCCAGACACGTTGGAAATCTAACGGCAAGGTAATGTTAATACCACCGATATTTTTGCGGCCAGTTGAAGAAGTGAATCGTTCAATAGTGGTGTTGAGTCGCTCATAAGGCATCATATCGGTTTCATTCACAATTGGCCTCAGAGACAGCAGCGGCGAGAAAAAGCTTTCTGCGTCCTTAAGTGGCCCATTATAGAAGAGTACAGCAAATATTGCCGCTTTGCGCTCCGGCGGTGGACATGTGAATCCGAAATATAACCCCTGGTCTTTGGTTGACCTTACCTCGAACGCATTGGCAAACTCAACGACCTCTCTCAATCTTTCGGCAGGGAATTTAAGTAGTCCTCCATAGACTGGGGACTTTTGATCATGCGCTTGGAAAACAAGCTCTGTGACCACTCCAAAGGCCTGTCCTGCACCTCGAACGGCCCAAAATAAGTCAGGCTGTTGGGTCTCAGATGCGATAGTAACTTTCCCGTCTGCCAGGACAATCCTCACACTCAGGAGATTGTCAATAGCGAGACCATACCTACCAGTCAGCCAACCGTATCCTCCCCCTAAGGTAGTTCCAGCAACCCCACTTAGGTCAAGGGTGCCTCCGACAATAGCAAGCCCATATGGTGCTGTAGCTGTATCGACCTCTCGCCAAGTTGCACCTCCTTGGACTGCCACAGTCTTGCTAGCTGAATCTACGACCACCTTGCACATTTTGGATAAATCGATGACGATTCCACCATGGGTTGAGGATGCCGCATATGTGGAGTGGCCTCGACCTCGGACCACAAAAGGGACATGGTTTTTCCTTGCAAAACTGACAACAGTTGCGACCTGTTGGGAAGATATAGCACGCACAACAGCTCCCTGCGAATTTTAATTCAGATGTTAGAACAAGGGAGTCAGTTCGTGACACGAATAAAAAGATTGTTATAATTATTTGAGTGAGCCATGATGTCGTTTAGAAAACAGATATACTTACAGCCTCCTTTTCACTAGTATCACTCCATCTCCTCAAACTCTCAATATAACCTTCCGAACCAAAGGTCAGGACCTCCGCGGTATCATCAAGGTCCCTTCTCAATTCGAGCGCTTTGTCATAAGTCAAGAAAGGCATGGTGATGCAATATATTCAAACTAAGGAAGAATTCTATCAGAAACTGTACGTACAGATTTGAGACTTTATATATGATTCAATGGGATATCATGTGCTCTATTCAGTTGTGGGTGATGTAGACCTATAGTGGAGATCTCAACCCTGTAAAAGCTAAAATTCAAGAATGTGATACTTTTTGTGTCATTCCCGCGGTTCGTCCATTGATCTTAACGACTTGGACCAGTCCGATGACGACAGCATATTATAGGTCTAGCGCTCGAGTCCCGCGTGACCACGTTCGTATTTTTATTCGCGTTGTGGCAAAATCGTGTAATTTCTTCTTTTTTATTAGTAGTGTTCTAGGCTTGCGTATCATGATAGCCAATCACGAGGCGACGAATGGGCCCCGATGTTTGAACAGAAGCAACAGGTGAGTTGAAAAAAATGAACAACATCTGTGATCTGTTAAACATGGAGAAACTGAAGCAAACTCTAACAATGTACGACAGAGCCTCACCCGTTCGCGAACCGAAGAGTATTCAAGCATGGTTGATTGGCGGTGGAGTACTGCTGCCATGTATCTTATCAAGTTGCAATATCATATATACTTGACCGGCATACTACGACAGGGGTTCGGATAATAGCTTCGGAGATGTATAGCGTAAGCTTAGTCTTCATTTCGGAAGACTACCTTAAGACAATGCGTTGAACATCTGCTAGGCCTCACTCCAAGTGCTCAAGGATCAGGAAAATGTCGGTTAGATACGATCAGAGATTTCGAACTGGGCGAGACTCGTGTGCCTGGAATCAATGCTAAGACAAGGTTGCTAAGAAACAGGACAAATCTGTGAACGGTCCGATGCCAACCGTGTGTCTATTAGGATTCTATAAAAGTCTTCTTTGAAATCTAAAATACAAGAAGCCATAGTATTTTTTTTTTTTTGAGACGAATCTTTTGGGACTGACTTTCGGTCATTATATATTCAGTTTCCTGTAATTCATAAACTAGTCTCGACCGTTCAATTAATGCCATACAAAACCTTTTGAGACAAAGAAAAGAGAGGGAGGGAAGAATGGGGGATATAATGCAATCAAATTAGCAACTTTGGAAGCATAAGTAGACATGTCGCCGGTGCAGTATAAATGTTGTTCAAGGCATATTTGCAAGGCTCAAAGACCACAACATTTGGGCTATTAGACTCAACTGTAGTAGGAAAAATTGTTCATAACATGACCTTTGTTTGCGGTTTTCAGAAACAGATTGGTGTCTGTTGACAGAATAGAAAACCTTGAGTCCCTGCAATCAAGAACATTTTGGAGCAGTGAAGGTCACGCGGAACAATGAACAACATGGAACGTTTATCAGGCTATGTTGAGCGGAAGGCGCAAAGGAGTGGTGAAAAGTGCGAAAAGCAGCCCCAAAAGTTCTTGATCAGAGGTGGTGATTGAAGAGCGCTAGTCAAACAAGAGAATTCTCCCCACGTCCTAAAGTGCTGTTCCTATTACTCTGGCACCCCGAAGTCCGCTGGCTGGAAAGTTATTACCTATCGGGACGAGGTTGGATTAGATCGCATTAGATCGGGTACGATCGGATCTGTTCTGCTCCATTGCCGAGCCATCGTCCTCAACGTTAGGGATACACAATATGCATGAGGCATACACGAGAACTGGAGGAGATATGTATGATTTGCGGGACCCATTAATTTAGTCTATACCCAAATTCTACTCGTCACTCAAAGTTCATGCATCGGTACCAAGTGCTAACTCGATGATATTTCGGGGCCCTGTGCGCTTCTTTCGCTCCCTGATAGCAACTGGCTACTCAGCATCAGTGTCCCTCACCAGTCAGTATGTCCGAATCAGCCATCACACACTCATGTTATCTGGATTTCATGGGCTGCGGACCGAGAAAATGGGCAATGTCATTGGCAAACCAATGATGAAGTGCGCAGAAAAGGAAACTATGATAGAGTTGCTCTCCCACCTCAACTTCCCGGTCGAGAGACTCCTTTCCAAATTGACCACCATTTCACGTTTAGTACCCCTAACAACTTCAGCACTGTTACTAAGGTATCCCAAGAATCGGCTGGAGGTTATACCACCTAACACCACTAACATTGCACTTTTTGGGCAATTCACTGAGATTCCAAGAACGCGACCTTTCAACGTGGAGTACAGTATATGAGGTGCGCAGACTCAAACTTTTAACCGTCTACCGAGATCGTAAGGAAGCAGCGAAACATTCGCTTAGTTTCTAGACTGGACATGGTGGACCATTCGTTGTGGTTACTCCAATGGCGTAGAAATGTGCATTGGTGTAACAATATTTCTATTCAGCATATTCAAAAATCTCCCTTTATTGGCATGGGTCTTTGAGGGGAGGATCCGCTATATAATAAATGGGTAAATCTAATTATATCACCAGCCCATTCTTTCTCCATGATCCCCTCAACAAAGTGCGGGTATATAATGTAAGAATGATGCTGTTTTGGTCGCATTACGCCGATAATTCATTTGATCCGAACACGAACATCCTTCCTATGGAAGTGTCTGCATGGAAGTGTACATCGAAGTGTCATAATAAATGTTAAATTATGGTATTCTCCGCTAGAGTGAAAGGAACCAACTCGACGTCATGTAACTAACTCCTTTAGAAGGAACGATTTTAGGAAGTGACCTTCTGAACCGTGGAAGAGGTTGAAATTGAACCGCATATATCCCACCTGAATCTAGACACGAGCGGTGATAACCATGTAATATTGGTGCAAAGAAAGCTTGACGTCATCATCAAGGCATCAAAAAATAAGCGGACTAGATTTTAATAGTTAGGTCGTTACGTATAAGCTCACCATATAAGGTCTAAACCCCCTCTAACCACTTCTTCCCCGCGCTCAACTTTTAGGTAGCAATGATCCGTCGTCCACGTTTCCCAACAATATGAACGACCACACTGACACCGAAGAATCTATACACCTCTATGTAAAAAGAGGTTCCTCAAGCGGAGTTGAAATTATAATTCTACTGGAAGAACTACAGTGGGTTTAAACAATCTCTCACGAAAGACTATTCTCGCTGATCAGTTCAAGGCTTCCATACTATCTCTGCACTGTTAACCACATCGAAGAGATTGCAGACAAGACATTTAATTTTGTTGATATTCACAGCCATCTTCCGATTTTAACAGATATACACTCCAATGGCCAAAGATTCAGACTCCAAGAGCCTGGAGCTATCGTTCAATATCTGATAGCTCATTATGATATACAACACAGGCTATCTTACCCTGCTTCGTCGGCAGAAGATATCGAAGTTAATAATTGGCTTTTCTTCCTGGCCTCACGACTAGGACCAAACCACAAGGAAGCAGTTCACTTTCTCAGATCCCCAGCAGAGGTGTCTTATGGCATTTCGCGTTTTGCGGACAAAATAATCCAGCTGTATCTTGCCCTTGAGAGACATCTACAAGAGACGCAAGCGCCGTATATAGTGGACAATAAATGGTAAGCTGTTTTCACCGTAAAACAACCTTCTTTCACCCGCAATGATCAACATTCAATATAGTACAGTTGCCGATGCTGTTTATGTCTCTTATGTTGCTGAAGCAAACTCCGCCGGTGTTGACATTGAGCAATTTCCTGCTCTAAACTCATGGTACAACAGAATGCTTCGCCGTCCAGCTGTTGCAAGAGGACTTAGCATGCGACAACAACACGGATTACTCGATGAAAACATGAACAACTAACGTACGTGACATCAAATTTCATATCCATCGCTGACATTAGGCTAATTGCGTAGTTCCGGCGCGTCGCTCGAGTGTTGCGTTGGTGCGGTATTTATAATCATAAAGATACTGATTGGGTATCAATAGCAACTACTCGAAGCTGCTGTGGATACATCCGACACCCGACATCTGGCTAGCTTCCTCCTAGTGTTTGTTATTGGTAGTAGAGGATGAATAAAAGTTCTGCTTAGTTTCTGGCATTCCATTCCGTCCTCCAGCCTCTTTTATATCACTAGTTTATACACTTTAGTATTTTCTCTACAGTGTCTCCGAAGGCAGTTTTTGACGCAAATCAACAATATAACAGTCTGTATCTGTTGTTTCGATGGCAGGCCTGTGCTCACATTACTGTAGGCTACCGATTTTGATCTCGACTTCTGGTATACCGACACCGCCTTCCTGTCTCTCAGAATAAGATCAGAACGTTCCTGTACAATGAATGTCCTTATCACTTGAAATTGGCAATTTGATAGGCTGCTGGTCTGCTTCACTTTCTTGTCCTGATACAGTATGCTATTGGGCATATCCATTTTGTCCTCAATGACAAAGCCAACTACGTAGGCAATACATTATCACATGCCTACCCCCATCATTGGACCCGGAAAGGCTTAGCAAGCATTCGCTACGGGTTCATCATGATAAGAGAAAAGAACCGCCTATTACATCTTAAATAGCCACATGTCCCATCGAGCCATCCATCATGCACATTCTGTACCACGAAAGCCACGAAAGCGACTATAAATTGCCTTAGGTTTGATTCGCTTTAGTTTTACCTCTCTTAGCCAATTGGTAAATATATTCACCATTCGGCTCGAGATTCTTGCCTTTTGATAGCTCCGAGGCAAGAAACAACCAGTTCACGGCATTTCCCACCGTGGTAACCTCGTCCCACGTTTTGTTTGGCGCGGAAATATTTAACTTCGGTTTTAGTTTGCTGTCCGTCCAAATTTTGAAAAGATCCTCAGCCATAGAATTTGCGTCCGTAATTTCGACGGTAAAGATATTAGGGTCGTTTTCCACAAGACAACAGTAAGGGCCAAGTGGCTGCGTTGTTATGACAGGTTTCCCTTTCTGGACAGCCTCTAGAAACCCTTCCTCAAAGCTCTCCACGTCAGAGAGTAGAATAACAAGTGTGGCCTTCGAAAGAAGAGTGTTCCAAATTTGGTCAGGAGGCCTGACCTGTTTGATGGATATCTGGCCCACGAGGTCATTCATGTGCAATGTAATGTGCGTCGCAACAGCATCGTAAACTTCCTTATTGGCATGATCGTTCAGCTGGTGGCCATAAAGGAGAAGTTTAGGGAGACGTGGTGCCGATGAAGTCTTCATAAGGGTGCAGAACTCCCGATAAGCTTCCAATGCACTCAAAGTCGGCTTTAATGACGGCCTATGGGGCATTTGCAAAAGCATATACTCGTCTATGAGAAATCGTTGGGTAATTAGCTCAAGCAGGTTTATTTCGAAATGAAAGGCTTACCGTCTGGATAATCAATGATTGTTGTCCCAGTCTCTCTACAGGACGCGTTGAATTGACGGCCGTAAAAAGCGAGGTCAAAATCGTTCATATCCTTGTTAAGTCCGTCAAACCTGGAAAATGAAGTAAGCATCGCAATTGACGTGGACATAGGAGTTTTCTTACTTGTCAACGGTGGCTAACATGTACCCCACTTTGTTTCCAGGTATCAATCGGGATTCCAATGTACTTAACGCTTGGCATGCTAAGATATCGGCATGCTGTAGTGTCCGCCAGATGAAGTCGAAAACTTCAGTCTTCGCCAGACCACCAGATACAGCTGGGTCAATCGGCATATTAATCCTGCTGTGAAAGATGACCGGTCTCTTAGGGTCATGTTGCTTGGAGATGAGTGCCAACACTGATAAGATTGGATCATCAACTATAACAACATCCGCACCCCCATCCTGCGCCTGGCGAAGAGGACCATTGGAGCGTAGCCAGTGATGTTGTGCATTTTCGTATACCCAGTTCAGCAGCTGTAGCTCCTCATCCGTGGTGAGATGGTTTTCGGGTCTTGAGATCCCTTCCAGCATTTTCTGCATTTTTTCCACGACGCGAGAAACTTTAGGAGATGGGTCTGGAACATACCTAAGTAATGTGAAATCAAAGAGTCAGCTTCACTCCACAGAAGAAGACACACAGTGAGCCACTCACCACCTTATACTAGTCCCTAGGCAATGTGAGAGCCGGAGAAGAGCACTTTTGGTATTTGCACTCGCCGTGTTCTGGGGCGTAGCACTGAAAATTGCAATTTTAACTCCCCTTTCCTTGAGATCCGAGGCATAGTGCTGTGCTAGCGACCATGTTTCTGGAGTCACACTATTCTCGAAATCTCTAGCACTGGCAATATGCGCGTGGAACGCATTATCGATTTCCACTGAACCACCGACGCCAATATCGAAATGCGGGATATTATCGACACCAAATAAGCTGAGATGCATTAGAATCCAGCTGACGATTGAGATGGGCAACCAAGGATACCTGATACATTTCCTCGCCATTGAATCTGCTTGCTCATCAAGAGACTTCTCGCTCCATCCTCGGAAGGTAGCAAGATTACCATGGTCACTCCGCTGGCGTACTCGTTGATATTGATCGAGAGCCAGGGGAAAGCAATCAAGTTCCATCCAAAGCCGGGAACAAAGATTGGGAATTCTGTCATGGATCTCCTTCGGGAATGCCACGCCCGCAATCTTGTCTAAATATGTCTTGCTGTATCTTTCCAATTCGACGATAACGGAATCACAGATGGCGGAGCCTGGTACCGGTACTTCGTGGTATCCAAACTCATACTCAAGGTAATCGACTAGGTAAGCAGCATCCCGGATAACGATTGCTATCTTGGGCCGAGAGGTTTCTAACAAGCCGGATATTCCGATGTATATACACTAACTTGATGTTAGTGGTTTCGGTTCAGTTACACTGTACTGTATCCACAAAGGTGTAACAGCCAAGGTATTCGTACATCGAATTGTTGACCAGACCAGGAATCTGCTCTCAAATGAGGCCGAGAACCTGCGACTGTATGTCGAGAAATAGGACGTCCGTACGTAGGTGGCTTATACATGTTCAAAAAGCACCGTTCTGCAATACTATGAACGATTTGGGAGCCAGATACTTGGAATTTATTAGGGATGAATTGGTGGCGATGGTCGTTGCCAAAGCGAGATTGCATGCTTACCCACTTTGTGTGGGGAAAACGATCGAGACAAATCTGCTGTCTATATACATGGGGCGAACATTCGCTTACCGTGGAATTGTGATGAGCGACAGATTGGTGGCAATGGTAACGCATGTCTTTTGACTGCTACAAAGCAGTCGGAGCCGACAGCAATCGGATTAATCCTAAGATCACCAAAACTTTGTTGAACCGGTTGGCACGTCATGGATCCAAACTTTCTACCGATGCAAGATGCCAACTAAGTAATTGAGAATCCTGGGGAGCTACCTGAAATTGTCAGTTCCATTCGTGTCTTCATGCAAAAGTTGTCATCGCTACGTCATTGGTCAGCCATCCTACAAAAGTCTTTGGGCGAGAGAGTCATACACAATAACTGACGTACGATAAGAACGCCCTACCGGATTCAAGGCCTGATATTTTAATAAATATCATCAGGCCTAGTTAGTTAATTACCAGTCTCTTAATAAAACAGCACACCGAGGTTTTCAATAAGATACTGTTGTTGACTGAGAAGGGCAGGGTGCAAAGGTCAAGAAGGCCCAGTTCAAGCTGTGGACTGGCATGGATATTTTTTCTTCGTCTCGAAAAGGACCTCTTGCCGAAAAAGAAAAAATAAAAATAAATAAAATAAAAAAATAATGGGAGAGATAAAAAGAAATTCATGAAAAGGAAATATATTTGGAACCAGAGAAGCATTGGTTGCCCGGATGTTTTTGGCACCACACCATATTGAAACTTTAACTTCTGCTCATTTCGTCTCTAGAGGCCAGGAATTCTTGGAGCCCAACGGCTGGGCAAAAGAACCATGGAGAAATATGTTTTGCCACTCACGTCTTTCAAAAATTATCTGATATACCGAACTCTCGCGCAATAAGACTTATCAAGCAGTTCGATCTACCGTAATTAAAATTAAATCAATCTTCATTATGCCCTTCTTACCATTATCTAATATCCTGAGCTTAAGGAAGGAACTGGAAGGAACGGCCGCCGAAATCGTGACGTGGGGTAGTGACGGATACGGTGATGGCGTTAAACAATGGAGTGATACTTGTGATGAACAAGTTGTGAGTAGTTGTTACCAAAATGATACCGAAATGCCATCACTGATCCTTTTTAGGGTGCCGTAGTTCGGGTCACATCGGCCGGCGAAGCAGCTGCAGTCGTCCGCTTTGCCGCATGCCATAAGATTCCTTTCGCAGTTAAAGGCGGGGGGTACTCTACTAGCGGAGCCTCGACAACCCGCGGTGGTATCGTTTTGGACCTTTTCTACCTACGAAGGGTCCAAGTGGATCCGGTATCTCAAGTACTCATTGCAGAAGGCGGGGCGCTGTGGGAAGATATCGACATTGCAGCAGCCCAGCACAAGCTAGCAGTTGTCGGAAGTACACTGAACCATATTGGGGCAGCAGGAGCAACATTGGGAGGAGGTTATGGATGGTTGACAGGCCAGTATGGCCTGGCGATTGATAATTTGCTCTGGGCGAAGATGATCCTAGCTGATGGCAGCGTGGTTACTGCTTCCGAAGAGCAACATCCGGACCTCTTTTGGGCTATTAGAGGTGCCGGTCAGAGTTTTGGAGTGGCCATTGAGTTAGGTTTCCAAGCCCACAAACAGAATCACCCTGTATTTGCTGGGACTCTTCTTTTCTCAGCGGACAAACTACCCAAGATTGTTGATTTTGTGAACCAGTTCGAGACTCTCACCGATAGTAAGCAGGGCTTCTGGTTTGGATTCACCGCGTCGCCCTCAATGGGCGAGTGCTCCATCTTGGTGGTTATCTTCTATAATGGGAATCAAACAGATGCAGAGCAATTCTTTTCCCCGGTGCTTTCCCTGGACCCGGTGGTGAACGAGGCACAAATGCTTCCTTACGATAGTCTCAACGGAATATTGAACGCGATGGATACAAAGTCTCGCCGCAGAAGCTCTGAGGGATCCGATATTACTTTTCCTGTCGATGAAATCGTTGGTCCTCGGAAAAGCCTGCGAGGATCGAATATCACTGTCCCTCTAGATCCTGACTTTGTATTATCGATATACCACGAGTTCGACGGCATCTTGAGAGATTTCCCACTGGCCAGGGACAGCATATTGCTTTTCGAGCTTCTGCCAAATTCACAGGTAGCCAAGGTTCACAATAATGCCACCGCCTTTGCCAGTCGCGGTCCTTATTATAATGTCAGTTCTCTATTTAGATGGCATAACCCTCGTCTGGACGAACAAATACACTCACTTCAGACGGATCTGATGGACCGGATTGGAACACGTGCAGGCATCCGTGTCCGACCCGATTACAACATAACCAGGCACGGAACAGGAGTATATGCGAACTACGCGGGTATGTTGACGCGTGTGGCACCTCAAAAGTATGACAACTAACACGATCTCAGGGAATGATCTGCCCAACGATGAAATATTTGGACATAACCTTGCACGACTTCAGGCGCTGAAGAAGAAGTATGATCCTGATAATATGTTCAGAAAGTGGCACAACATCACAGCGCCTATCGACATTCCGGGATAGCATTTGAACAATGTGGACAGCATATCTGGCATCAACCCGATAGGTAAAATACTGAGAGAGGCCTTTTAAGTCAAGCAGGTATGCGATACTGGTATTCATGTGTTTAGGCGTTCAAAGCGGAAACTTGTCTTGGATTGTTTGACGTTTTGTATCATTGGCTCTACTCCAGAATGAGAATATAAGAGGGCCTTCGTATTTTAGCTGTTCTCAGAGCGTATTTTAGCTGTTCTCTCTGAGAGAGGCTTGTTCTTTACTATCACAGTGTAGATGGGTGAATTGCAATAGCTCTCCGAGCGAAATGGCTTAGTAACAAAATCCTGCTTGGAAATAAACACCTGGATTTCTGGCTTTTTTTTTTTTTTTTTTTTGGTTGCGTTACGTTCTATCTTCACACCAGGTAGATGCATCGGTATTATTCTTTGCCTCCTAGAATTAAATGCCTATCGCCTTTGAGTCCAAGACCCTAGTTTCAGCCTTGCCAAATTGAAGTTGCTCATCAGTATTTCGCTCTCCTTATAGGGAACCCACGACCGAACCTAGTATATACTATGCGATGTTATCCTAGTAGCTGCACCAGGCCTACGCTGGATGGCTGGTATCCGTCGGTATATACTGCCCCCAAGAACATAATAGGCACTGTGATGTTAAAACTTTAAGTACCCCTTGTTATGTCACCGCAAATCAGCATATTAGACAACATAACATAATTAATCCCTTGAGACATCTAATCGACAGTAGTGACATCTGGGGCAAACGTTTCCTTGCACAAAATTCTTGGGCTTGGGTAGAAACATGCGTGCCTTGGAATTAAATCCATTAACCATCTGTCCCACAGGGAACATTACAACACTTTTGACAGCCCTTCGTGATGCAACTTCCTGTCTGTCCGGTTGGTCCGTTTACGCTCACTGTAAGACGTCGAACAGTTCAGCAATGCGGAGGAACACATGGGACTGTATCAGACGGTTCTTGGGTCGTGAGCTCTCAGTGGTTCGGCTGTGCCTCGAGATAAGACGGTCTTTGTCATTTCGATTCGTAGCTGAAATGTCAAATGTTAACTCATGAGGCTCAAATGACTTGACCTTTTGCCTCACCTTCCCTTGCAAGCGGACTTGGACTGACTACCTCGCCATCTGCGAAGTTACGGCTCACTTTATAAGATAGAAACGTCAGCATTCATCGGTGTTTTACAGATTTCCAAGCTTGGAAAGACGCCAGATGCCATCGGGGGAAAGAAGGATCACCCAATGGAGGTGCAGAAATCCAAGCATAAGGAGGCTATTCCTTGAGTGTGTTCGAAAGCCGAGAGACTTATAGTGGTACGTGCTCGTTTAAGTCTAGGTCCTAACACCCGACCTAACCCAGCTTTGGGTTGGGTTTTGGGTCATACTAGGTGACCTAATAAAACCCTAGGTACCTAATTGGATAACAAAAGTTATAAAGATGCTAAGATTCCCAGCTTTATAACATATATCGTCGACCTATAATTTTGAGTATTTTTGTCATATACCTCTAATTTTTGCTAAACTTTAAATATCAATAGAATAGATCGTAATTCAATTTTATTATTGTATATACCATAATTCTACTAATAAGTTTTATATATCGTCCTCCCTACTTTCCCACTTTCTCCCTAACACCCGTAGCTAGGTGCTACTCTAGTAGTAGAGGCCTAGTATCAATATCACTATTATCACTATTGTTTATCTATTTCTATTAGATTATTAGACCTATTAATTAGCTCCCAAGCATCATTGATTAGGTCTATCTTAACCTTATGAGGCTTCTTATTCTTCTTTTCATTTACAAGCCGTAGTAATTTTGAAGGTAGCAGTTTTCTTGTTGCCACTTTGGGTGAATTACAAGGACAACCCCGAAAACGGAAAACAGGGCTGAGATGAGGGCCACAATCACTATGTCCTGGCGGACGTTTTCCTTGAGCTTTTGGGATGTGATATCCAAACTAGCGTTGTTGGGGATGACGAGGTCAAATTTTGCACGGTCTCGCAGAACCGTCGCAAAGTGTGCAGTGGCAGAACTGAGACTGGCAATGGCCAGCAAGGTAATACTGAGGAAGACATTAACTAGACGGGGCCGAGGTCTGGGCCACAGTAGTATTGGGAGGCATTTGGTGTCCGAAAGAACATGTTTACCAATTGCAAAAAAGCGAGGCGGATGTTGCTCGGGGAAATAGCTAAATCAAGCAAAGAGTAGGAGGTAGAAAGATGAAGTAGAACAAACCTTCCGGGCTTATAAGGCTATATGTGGTCTGCGCTCTTCACATAGGGCTGCCTTCTTAAGAACTAACTCCGCTAATAATGAGCAACGCCAAGCGTCTTTTTATGTACCAACTGCCGTAGTGCTAATGTATAGACAATTCCTTGATGAGGGCACTTGTAGTTAAAGGCCTGTTCCTAAGAACGTGCCTAATATCTCGGAATTAAATCAGCTCCTAGAATCACCCCGGTAGTTCTAGGGTCTACTGTCATGTAAACGGGGTGGATAATCTTCTATATCTCCTATATAGGTAAACAGAGATCAGAACCTATTTTAAGGTTGGTCAAAGGCTCGCTTAAGGAAGCCTTTCTATAGCTAGTATTGATAGAGTTTGCCTCGGTCTTTCGTAATATCTCAATTTGCTGTAATCGGGGAAGCTACGCTTTGCTATTGACTGATCAAATTTAACTAAGTCCTAGTATTGAATTAATGAAACCAATATGTCTTAGATAGATATTTTTATAGGGTAGGAGGGGGGATTCATATGCTGTTGTTGTTTAATAGTGTACTATCATAAACGTTGATATTAAGTTATAACACTATTTATTACTTGTATATAGCCAAAGGTGCTAGAATGAAATCGCTCAACGAATCTTATCATATTAGCACGAAACTAGAGGCTTATTATTGATAAACCTAAAAGCCCTGAAGCTCCTAGGACTATAAGATAGACTCTCGGTCGATCATATCTTTGATTGTGGCTTTCGGTGCGGCTGAATGATTGGGCGGCTAAATGATTAGGCGTAATAACAAACCCTAAGGCGTCAGAAATGTAACTCCCTTCTATACGTTCCTATTCATGACTAACTATAATCTAGCAGCTATGTTACTCCTAGGAATCTCCTTCGAATCAATTAGCGGCTCGGGCTCTATGTGGATACGGATATCCTAGGTCCTATCGTCGCGTGGGTGTATGTACCGCGATTGAGGCAATAAATTGACATTTATAGTGCTCCTAGGACCCGGTGCTAATAAGGCTAACCCGCGAAAAGATAACTATGAATATACTTTTTAAGGTTGAAATAACCGCTTCTGCCCACAATATTTAAAGGTCGTGATTGTCCTTATGGTCAATTCTCTTAAGTTTTTCGTTCCCTATAAGATCTTGTCATTACAATACCCGTACTAGGGGAACCAAACAAGTATGGATTACAAATTGTCACGGGTATCGAATAGGCCTATTACCCTAGATATAGAAGGTCAAAACGGACATATATGGCAAGCTAGTATTATCTTTCTAGATCCCCTTTCTCGAGGAATCCGTTAGCTAACAAACCTATTTTATGGAGGCAATGAATCGGATGAAACCTTCCGACGGGTCGTCGGCTAATTTATCCATGGGAATCGCGGCAACGTAAGCTAGACTTTCTAACTGTCCGTTGACCGGTCCCTGCTTAACTCTGTAGCTATATCTATTGCTACCTCTATTGCTAGCTTAAGGGACTCTATATCGCCTTATAGCGACATAAAGGCTAAAACTTAAGACCTATCTCCTCTAGAAGGGAAAAAGAGAGCAGCCGAATCCTTAACCCTCTCACGAAAACTGGCAACGTAAGAGATATAACGAAAGAGACGTCTAAGTATTATAGCAATTAGTATAAACATGTTAAACGATACGATTCAATACCTATAAGAGGTATCTGATTATATCTTAGCTTCTAACACGATTTTATCTAGGGAGTGGGCCACGATGCACCTCGCCACACAATTGCTACTAAGTAGGTACGAAGAGATTATTGTGAGGGAAGGATTAGAAATATATGCTGTGTCCGGCTTTTGTTCTGCCTAGACATAGCTAGAAGATAAGTGCCGGAGGTGTGCTACTGCGGATAAGGAACGGCTTTATGATTGAGAAGCTCCTCGTTCTTCTTAGCTATCCTTGGTAGCATGCTAGCCATTGTAACGGGTTAGACATATAACTCAGAATTGTTGATTAAGAATCTACTAAGCCTTAGATACATCAGTCCATAGAATATAGGATCACTAGGTACGACGATTGGTTAAACAATTTATTGTAGACAATCTAGTCCTCTTAGTAAGCCTAGTAATTACAAGACTCGATCGATAATAACCAATAGGGATAGAGGCAACAGAAAAATGCCGTACACTATGGTCTAACATATCTAAAGCCTTGATACTTGAAAGTAGATAGTATCGCACCCTTAATGTTTCGGTCATACAAAATCTAGATGTCGTTCGAGGATAACATCCCTTTAACATTTAGTACTGCTGTGGGCAATAGAATCCTAAGGTGGTTAATTAAGAGCCTAATATACTGAGTAGTTAGGCTATGTGTCGATTCTAGTGAAATAAGACCTTAGTTGACTTAAGGCGCTATGTTAATAAGGGCTAAATAGCTGATTATCTATCGTAACTGTAAAGGAGTAGGGTTCTAGTGTTTACAGGATAGAGCCTGTCAACTAGGTAAGATGAAGATGCCTGGAAGCGAACAATATATTGGAGGAATACAGAGACTGATTCTTGGAGAACCGCTGGGTTCTCCGGGGCAGACTATTTAACATGGGGGATCAGCGTTACGGTGAGCCAATGCTGACGTGTCGACACCTATATGGTGTCGATCCTCTGGGAGTGCGAGAGATCTGTGCATGGCTTCTGAGGATTCCGTTACAGTAACACGCAATATATACCGGTGATAATGTTAGGTGGGGACCGTGGGTTGGTAGTATCATCTTATGGCGGTCGATCATACTACGATCATCTTT